ACCTTGTCAAATGTAGATTTGTCTGTTGCAAAATCCAAAGGATTGATTTTGATGATTAAATTTTACACGTCTTCATTAATTACATAACCAATGAATGCTCCTTACTTTTTGGCAAAAATAAGTGTGACAATTTTCATAACCATTCCATGCTGTTGAATTGAGACGTAGAGTTGGCTTATGTAACAATTAAAAGAATGATGTAATCTTCTGGTTAAACTGTCTGATACTGGTGCTTTCACCTCTGAGAGAATGCTATACATCTTTCTTTCTTCTAGGGATAAATTTCTGTCTCGATTTCTTATCTCTGCAGGGGTCAATATTGGTGGAGCACATTTTTCTAGAATATTTCTATATAATCATTTTCAAGTTATTTTGCCTTTAATTATACAAACAAGTCCAGTGACCTCCAATGTGAATTACTGACATTGTGTTCTTGCTTTTACTCTTACCTCACGAGACATCCTTCTCAGGAACGTTTTCCGATTCTGTGTATCTGTTGAATACTTAAAAGTGGTATAGCTCAGACATCTGAAAATTAAGGGTTAACTAATCTAGCTAACTAATGGGTAGAACTCAGGGAAGCCTGGAACCCAGTGAGACACACAAATCTCTCTGCGGGTCCCTCATGGGTCAGACCTCAGTATTTCCTGTTCCTTCCATATGAGACCCTGTGTGCCTCTAGAGATCATGAAAAAGTAAGAGCTTTTCCCAAACACTGCAGCAGCCTGTTTGAAGACACACATAAGAGACTTGTCATTGGTGTTGGTAATTAGCAACTGGGAAACAAAATTTCAGAAGTGTTCTCAGCTCCCCAGGCCTTCACTGTCATTTACCCTATAGGTAAAGTGACAATTGCAGTTCTGAGGGGACGTGAGGTCACAGAATCACAAACCTTTATTTGAGGTGTGGCTGCCTCCCTCCCTCATGTAATGGCTGTCACAACCTTCACACTGAGCTCACTGTCCTGGCAGAGGGAAGAAGTCCAGTGAGTATTTTCTGTTGCACTCTGAGATGCAGAGTCTGCAAGGAAAGGAAGTCTTACTACATGCTCATGTCTACAAAGGGAGTATTCTGGGGTAGAAGCAGATTCAGTGGCAAGGCCAGTCAAGGAGGAGGAATAATACCTTAGCTCTGAGTCGGGTTAGTAAAAAGACCGGCGTCCTAGACCATATGCCAGTCCTCAATGGCTCCTATTATAATTTAATAAAACTCTCACTGAGGATGTTAGTGAATAATTCAAGTGATAAAATCTCATATCTCATTTTGAAGATGCTTAAGAATTGTAATATGAAATAATTCAGGTTGTTCACATTGCCTTGCTTGAATTATAGACTACGTTTTCAAAATTATTGTTACGGTCACATTTATAATGCCTATGTGTTTATAAGAAAGATTAGGATGGAACTATAAGAACTACATAATCCTGTACAAAAACCATGATGTCAATTCATCTCTGGAATAAAAAATATTTTATATAAATCTAGGTTTATTATTATGTTAATGGAGGTCACAACTGTGTCTATAATGAAGTATCCATGTTCTGATGATTATGGGAGAGTGCATTTTCTCTTAAAGTTAAGGACTTATGGGAAAAGGTAATATTTTAATTATGGATATCAGATGACATTGCCAGGACCATTTATGTCTTGTGTTATTTCTTCTGGTTTAATAACATATGAACATCAGTCTCAGGCTCATGACACGTTTTTCTGTTTTTTGAATTTTTTTTTTTTTTTTTTTTTTTTTTTTTAACATCGTCTCGAGGCTGATCAGTCGATAGTACTCAGTTTTACGAATTTTGTATTTATTACCATTGCAGAAGATTTCATATTCTTAAATTCCTACCCCCAAGAGCATAGTTCTGTTGGGTATATTTGAGTAGCAGAATTGTTGAGACATAGGTTTATATCTATTCCAACATTTAAGAGGTCACATTGCTTTTGTATGTTTTGTTTTTTATATAAATAAAATCAGACAGCAAGAACCTGTCTATATTTAGCTCTTAAATTTTTATGATTTTTCAAATGTACTATTGATTTCCATTAGCATTGATATATAACATTCCTTCTGTTAATATCAAATATTTGAATCATTCTATTCTGAGGGAGCAAGTGGTTGGTCTTCTGGTTTGGGACTGTTATGACTAGTGCTGATATACAAATTCTGGAATTTGTCTTTTGATGATATATTTAGAAATTCATTTGGGGCATACTTATAAGAGGGGAATTGTCGAGACAGAGGTTGGTATCTGTTCCACTTAAGTAGGTACTGCCAAACAGTTCTCCAAAATGCCTGTGCCAATTTTAACGCCCATCAGCAGCACATGGAATTCCTGGCACATGTTTGCCAAAACTTGGTATTTCCTGCCATTTTAATTTTAGACTTCTAGTTGGCGTATGATGGCACCAGGTGGTGGTATTTGAAGTTTCATGATTACTGAGGACATCAAAACTTTCCTCATAGTTACTACTCACTGGACAATTTCCATTTTTTTGTTTCTGATGTAATGTTTTCCCTATACTTCATTATATTATGTGATATGTGTTCTTTATGCTACATACAACTCTTCCTACCTATGCTCCCCGCTGTGTGTACACGTGTGTGTGTGTGTGTGTGTGTGTGTGTGTGTGAGATGGCGGCCTACTCTTATTTAATGTTCTAATTTGTCATTTCACCCATATCATCAATGTGTTTCATACTGTTTATAAAACATCCTCAGATTCTAAGACCATAGCAAATATTTCATTTTGTAATTCTCAAAATTGCATTATCTGGTTGTAAATTTCAATCAGCAATCCATTAGTATTGGTTTGTTGAATGGCATGGGTAGTGAATGAGGCTGTTTCTTTTCTTACATATTACTAGCAAAATCACTGTATTCTGAAAATGTTGAATTACGCTTTTTTTTTTCTTTTTTTTTCTTTTTTTTTTTTTTTTTTTTGAGACGGAGTCTCGCTGTGTCACCCAGGCTGGAGTGCAGTGGCCCGATCTCGGCTCACTGCAAGCTCCGCCTCCCGGGTTTACGCCATTCTCCTGCCTCAGCCTCCGAGTAGCTGGGACTACAGGCGCCCGCCACCACGCCCGGCTAGTTTTTTGTATTTTTAGTAGAGACGGGGTTTCACCATGTTAGCCAGGATGGTCTCGATCTCCTGACTTCGTGATCCACCCGCCTCGGCCTCCCAAAGTACTGGGATTACAGGCTTGAGCCACCGCGCCCGGCCACGCTTTTTTTTTTTTCTATTTGCTCTCACTTGTGGGGAAAAGAAAGAGAGATCAGACTGTTACTGTGTCTATGTAGAAAGAAGTAGACATAAGAAACTCCATTTTGTTCTGTACTACAGAAAATTTTCTGCCTTGAGATGCTGTTAATCTGTAACCCTAACCCCAGCCTTGTGCTTGCAGAGACATGTGCTCTGTTGACTTAAGGTTTAATGGATTTAGGGCTGTGCAGGATGTGCTTTGATAAAAATGTGTTTGAAGGCAGTATGGTTAGTAAAAGTCTACCCCCTCTCTGAGATGGTAGAGAGTAATCAGTTAATACTGAGGGAACTCAGAGACCAGTGCTGGCACAGTTCCTCTATATGCTGAGCGCTGGTCCCCTGGACCCACTTTTCTTTCTCTATTGTCTCTGTGACTTATTTCTTTTCTCAGTCTCTCATCCCACCTGATGAGAAACACCCACAGGTGTGGAAAGGCTGGCCCCCTTCATCTGGTGCCCAACGTGGGTGAAATACGCTAGAGCGTGGTCATCGAGGACAAGTCGACAAGAGATTCCCAAGTACATCCATGGTCAGCCTTGCGTTAAGCTTGTGCACTCGGAAGAACCCAGGGTAAAAATAGAACAAACTGATAGTAAATATGCCTCTTATCTCAGCTTAATTAAAATTCTTTTAAGAAGAGGGGGAGGTAGAGTCTCTACAGAAAATATAATCACACTATCTCAAATGACAGAACAATTCTGCCTATGGTTTTCAGAACAGGGAACTTTAGATCTAAAATATTGGGACAAAATTGGCAAAGAATTAAAACAAGCAAGTCGGGAGGGTAAAATCGTCGCACTTACAGTATGGAATGATTGGGCCATTATTAAAATACCTTTAGAATAGTTTCAAACAGGAGAAGACAGCATTTCAGTTTCTGATGCCCCTGAAAGCTGTGTAATAGATTGTGAGGAAGAGGCAGGGACAGAATCCTGGAAAGGAACAGAAAGTTTACGTTGTAAATATGTAGCAGAGTCTGTAATGGCTCGGTCAACGCAAAATGTTGACTACAATCAATTACAGGAGGTAATATACCCTGAAACATTAAAATTAGAAGAAAAAGGTCCAGAATTAGTGGGTCCATCAGAGTCTAAACCACGAAGACCAACTCCTCTTCCAGCAGTTCAGATGCCTGTAACATTACAACCTCAAATGCAGGTTAGACAAGTCCAAACCCCAAGAGAATATCAAATAGAGAAAGACAGAGTCTCTGTCACGGCAATGCCAATCCAAATACAGTATCCACAATAACAGTCGGTAGAAAATAAGACCCAACTGCCAGTAGCCTATCAATACTGGCCGCCAGCTGAACTTCAGTATCGGCTGCCCCCAGAAAATCAGTATGGACAGCCAGGAATGTTTCCAGCACCACAGGGCAGGGCTCTACAGCCTCAGCGCCCACTATGAGACTTAATCCTGTATCACCACCTAGTGGACAGGGTAGTGCATTATATAAGATTATTGACAAGGCAAGAAAACAAGGAGATATTGAGGTTCCCAGTAATATTAGAGTAATATTAGGTACAACCTGGAGAAGGGGCCCAAGAGGGAGAGCCTCCCCTAGCTGAGGCCACATGAGTCATTTTCTATGAAAATGCTCAAAGATATGAAAGAGGGAGTAAAGCATATGGACTCAACTCCCCTTATATGAGGACATTATTAGATTCCATTGCTCATGGACATAGACACATTCCTTATGATTGGGAGATTCTGGCGAAATCATCACTCTCACCCTCTCAATTTTTACAATTTAAGACTTGGTGTATTGATGGGGCACAAGAACAGGTCTGAAGAAACAGGGCTGCCAATCCTCCAGTTAACATAGATGCAGATCAACTATTAGGAACAGGTCAAAATTGGAGCACTATTAATCAACAAGCAATAATGCAAGATGAGGTCATTGAGCAAGTTAGAGCTATCTGCCTTATGGCCTGGGAGAAAATCCAAGACCCAGGAACTACCTGCCCCTCATTCAATAAAATAAGACAAGGCTCTAAAGAGCCCTACCCTGATTTTGTGGCAAGGCTCCAAGATGCTGCTCAAAAGTCAATTATGGATGAGAATGCCTGTAAGGTCATAGTGGAGTTGATGGCATAAGAAAATGCCAATCCTGAGTGTCACTCAGCCATTAAGCCATTAAAAGAAAAGGTCCCAGCAGGATCAGATGTAATCTCAGAGTACATAAAAGCCTGTGATGGAATTGGAGGAGCTATGCATAAAGCTAAACTTATAGCTCAAGCAATAATGGGAGTTGTTTTAGGAGGACAAGTTAGAACATTTGGGGGGAAATGTTATAATTGTGGTCCAATTGGTCATCTAAAACAGAATTGCCCAGTCTCAAATGAACAAAATATAACAACTCAAGCTACTACAACAAAGAAAGAGCCACCTGGCCTATGCCCAAGATATAAAAAAGGAAAACACTGGCTAATCAACGTTGTAATAAATTTGATAAAAATGGGCAACTGTTGTTGGGAAAGGAGAAGAGGGGCCAACTTCAGGCCCCACAACAAACTGGGGCATTCCCAATTCAGCCCTTTGTTCCTCAGGGTTTTCAGGGACAACACACCCCACTGGGAAGCGACGGTTGTAGTGAGCTGAGATCGTGCCACTGCATTCCATCCTGGGCGACAGAGCAAGGCTCCATCTCAAAAAAAACACAAAAACAAAACAAAAGTTACCTAGTAACCCAGGATTTCTGTTGAATTCTGAGCTAGCCACAACAAGGCAAATTTTCATTTCTTTTCCTATGCGCAGCACTTACTGTAACTTGGACAGTGTATCCATATGGGATGAAGGTTAAAAAACCGGATAAAGAAGGCCAAGAGATCTACTCCCAGAAAAGGGAGAACGATGAAGATAAATCATGATCTCAAAAAAAAAAAAAAAAAAAAATCACATCTCAGTTCAGCAGGTCACAGAGAAGCCAGGATCTTTGAAACGGTAACTTTAGCAAGGGATAGGTCTTACGGACAAATAAAAGGGTCATCTCTAAGACATCCCAAAAGAAACCCACCTCCCCCCATCTGTTACAGTCTCATCCATTCTCAGAGACTAAGATTTTCCTCCTCCTTTGTGTTCTACTTATTCTAAGGGTCCTTTTCCTTTTCTGCTCTGCCCCTTTTATATTTGACTAAGTCTCTCTAATCACACAAAAGTTGTGGGTGACAATTCCATTCTTTACAACTGTCATTCCCTTCAATGACAAAATACTCTTCTCTTTCCAAATCATTCTCTCTCCAAATCAATATAGTTTTTGATTTTCTATGTGTTGGGAAATATTAAATCATGCAAAGCAGCTCTTCAGCACAACTTTCTGGGATGCTGGAAATGATGACAGAGAGTCCCCATTGTCTCAAAGTTCTGTTCACTCTGCTGTCCAGTTTGGTAGCAGCTATTCACGTACAGCTCTTGAGCAGTGAGGGAACTGAATTTTTAAATTTTGTGTTCAGTTTCTTTAATTCTAAAATTTAAGTAGCCACAAAAATTAGCAGGGAATTTGTAATCTTTTGGAGAGATGAGACCTGGGCATAAAAAACAAAACCAAACCAAACCTCATTTTTGTACTCAGGTGCTTAAGTACCATTAACAGCAGATCCCTCTGCAAAATATAAAGTTCTGAAAGTTTATGGTCCTGGTTTTCAATTAATCCTTCACACTGGTCTAAGGAAACTGAATTGACACAAATGCGTCCCACATCCCACCATTCCAGTACTAGCCCTTTCCCACCAACCACCCCTTATGGGGTTTTTCAGTCACTGCAACACCCCCGATACCAATTCTTTCATCTCTTTTAAAAATTCACAGTACTTCATTTCTTCCACTTCAAAGTACTTGGGCTTCCTTTACTCATTTATTTGACACAATAGAGCAACTGCTGTGTATGTGTTTAGGCTAACATCAGATTTTGCCTGTGCATCACAGCATACATTTAAATAGGATGAGTTTATCAGGCTTTCTCTGCCTTATACATTTTCTCTCAGTGTATGCTTTTCAGCCACATAATGAACTACAAATTTTTGCTCCACCCTTTTTCCACATAGATCTGAGTTCTCTTCCTATGGGTTTTCTGTAACATAAAATAAGACATAATTGATCACGGAAGGCACAACCACATTCACCGCATTCACAAGGTTTCTGTCCTGTGCAAATCCTCTATCATCTCCTGAGGCTGCACATCTGACCACTGGCTGTCCCACAAGGACTATGTTCCTGTTTGCAAGGAGGCCGCTGATGTTTAGTGATGTCTGAGGGGTCACAGAAGACACTTGTGTAGTCACCCCGTTAGCGGAGTTTTTCTCCTGCATGACATCACTGGTGTGTAATATGCTGTGCCTCTCTGCAGGAGGAATTTCCACCTTGACTGCATCTTGTTTCTCCCTCGTGTGTATTCTCTTATGCTTAACCAGGCACGACATATAAGCAAATGCTTTCCCACACTCGTTGCAGCCATAGGGTCTCTCTCCTGTATGAGTCCTTTGATGGACAATGAGCTTTTGCTTTGTGCTAAAGGCTTTCCCACATTCACTACATTCAAAGGGTTTCTCTCCTGTGTGAATTCTTTGATGTTTAATGAGACCTGACTTCTGAGAACAGGATTTTCCACATTCACTGCACACAAAGGGCGTCTTTCCCGTGTGAAATCTCTGATGAGCTATGAGGCAAGTCTTCTGAATGAAGCCTTTTCCACATTCACTGCATATATAAGGTTTCTCACCTGTATGAATTCGCTGGTGTACAATGAGATTTCCTTTCTGGATGAAGCCTTTTCCACATTCACTGCATATATAGGGTTTCTCTCCGGTATGTGTTTTCTGATGTATGTTGAGCCGTGATTTCTTGAGAAAGGCTTTGCCACATTCAGGGCATTCATAAGGTTTTTCTCCCGTATGAGTTCGCTGATGTTCAGTGAGCATGAACTTTCTGGAGAAGGCTTTCTCACACAGACTACATCTGTGGGGTTTCTCTCCTGTATGCATTACCTGGTGATCAGTTAGCCAAGACTTCTTGATGAAGGCTTTCCCACATTCACTGCATACATGATGCTTCTCCAATTTTCGTGTTTTCTGATGCTTGGGATTGATGAATTGGGACTTAGTGCTGATGAGTTTTTTACTTGCAGGGAATTTAATTGCAGTATGAAGTCGTTCATGGTTAGCATGAAGAAAGGAGTCCCCATTTCCAGTAAACTCACAAGAGTTCTTTATTTCATAGCCTTTGCTCTTATTAACTAAAGTTAAATTTGATTTCAAACTTTTTCCATGTAAGTCAAATATATCATGATTTTGCCCTAACAGAAACTGACTTTTGCTGCAATGAACGATATTTTCAAATGCATCATGTTCATGACATTGTTTCCTTCTGTTCACTAGGGTTTCACTATGCAAGCGCTTCAGCACATGATCATCAACTTTCCAGATTTCTAGAAAGAAAAGAACAAAGATTTCCATCATTTTGATTTGAGGTAAAAGTCTGTTCTGTTTTTTTTTTTTTTTGGTTTTCTTTTGTTTTTTTGTTTTAGATGGAGTTTCACTCTGTTGCCCAGACTGGAGTGCAATGCTGCAATCTCAGCTCACTGCAACTTCCACTTCCCGGGTTCAAGCGACTGTTCTGCCTTAGCCTCCCAAGTAGCTGGGATTACAGGTGCCTGCTACCACACCCAGCTAATTTTTGTAGTTTTAGTACAGACGGGGTTTCACCATGTTGGCCAGGCTGGTCTCAAACTCCTGACCTCACGTGAGCCATTGTGCCCGGACAAAGTATTTTTTTTTTTTTTTTGAGTCGGGGAGATGGAGTCTCACTCTGTTGCCCATGCTGGAGTGCAGTGGCACAATTCCGGCTCATGACCAAACTTGTTTTGTTTTGTTTTTTTTGCGGGGGAGATGGAGTCTCACTCTGTTGCCCAGGCTGGAGTGCAGTGGCACAATCCCGGCTCACAGCCTAAGTACTTTTTTTTTTTTTTGCGGGGGGCAGGGCGGAGATGGAGTCTCACTCTGTTGCCCAGGCTGGAGTGTAGTGGCACAATCCCAGCTCACCGTAACCTTGGAAGCGATTCTCTGCCTCAGCCTTCCATGTGGCTGGGATTATAGGCATGTGCCACCACGCCCAGCTAATTTTGTATATTTAGTAGAGACGGGGTTTCACCATGTTAGCCAAGTTGATCTCAAATTCCCGACCTCAGGTGATCTGCCCGCTTTGGTCTCCCAAAGTGCTGGGATTACAGGTATGAGCTGCTGCACCCGGCCCCAAAGTATTTTTTTTTAATGCCTTGATGTGAGGTGTCTCTTTAGTAATAACAGTATGACCTGAGTGTAAATAAAACTACATGTTTAATGTTCCTTGCACATTGGCAAAAAATAATAGTATAGACAAACTAAAAGGTGAAAGCAGTTAGCATAAAAACAAGGTTAGATCACTAATAATGAATAAAGACAGATTTGGCTGCATTCTAAATGTGCCTTGCAAAACAAAGACCTTAAAAATACAAGCAATTCACTGTGACCAGCAGACCAGAGGTTAGAGGGCCATTTCATCCAAAGAACAGATCCATCCATTCCACATCCTCTTACTGAATGATCACCATGTACCAGATATGGTGCTAGTGTTGGGGATAGGCATGAGAATCGTTTGAACCCAGGAGGCGGAGGTTGCTATGAGCCAAGATCACACCATTGCACTCCAGCCTGGGCACACAGTGAGACTCTGTCTCAAAAAAAAAATTAAATACAATAAATAATAATAAGTAATTTTTAAGGGAATGAGTCAGGGAAGTAATCATATGTGTGGAACACACCGGGGAGGGTTTAGGAAAGAAGATGGAAATCTCTTTGTGAGCAGGATGGTATTGTATCACAGAGATCACTGAAACGAGAACTTTGACGGGTAACATGGTTTACTGGGACTTAGTGGCATCAGAATATGACCAGCCGGGGTGGCTGGAACGAGGGGGAACAACAAGATCAGACCACGGGAAACCCTCTATTAAAAACACAGAATAGGGAATCAAATGGGAAGGGAGGCGGAGGAGATCATGAACCTGGAAAGAGAGTTAAAAAAAAAAAAAAAAAAAAAAAAAAAAAAAAAAAAAAAGTAGGGCAGGAGTTATGACCTGGTTTAAGCTGGCCTTGGGAATGTGGGATGTTTTAAAAAATGACTTTTTTACTTAGAGATTCATCATGACTAGCAGATACCTTTAAAGAAGAGAGCTCTTCGGACAGGTAATGCCTGGATGGCCAAGATTCAGGATGTACAGGAACAAACGAGAATACAAACTTAACAGGGGTTTTCTTGGAGGAAAGATGATTCTAGTTCTTTGCAGTTACTAGGAACTCAGGGGAGAATTGCCATCAAATAAACACAGAACTAAAATCTGTGTTAGGTAACAACCGGGAGATGTCAGTTTGGGACTCTCCTCCAGGGAATGGAAGGCGCTTAACTTACTAGAATGAAGGAAACTTTGAAGAGTGTAGGGCACAGATGAGAAAATGGAAAACGGGGCCTTTGGAGAACCTAAGAATAAGGAAAAAGAGAAGCCAAGGAAGCCAACGCACAGTGAAAGCCCAGTTTACCCTGAGGAAGCCACTGTCACATCCAACACAGCAGAGGTGTTAGGAGGGGAGGTCAGCATTAGTCAAGGGGCATGAAGGGGCGGGAGTTCTAGAAGTTTCCTCTTTGGAGAGAGGCCTGGAAGGTGGAATTTCATAACAAGAGAGGTGGAAGGACATGAAGAAGGGAAATACTTGAAACCCGAGGAAGAAGAAAATTATGCAGGCAAACAAAAAATATGTAGATAAAATAAAGAATCAGATGTCTGAAGAGATAAAGGGATTTTTTTTTTAAACTCTAAATTCCTACAAAGAAAAACAGGTCTCACACTGGGAGAGAGATGAGTAGAGGAACTGTTTACATATCCTCAAACCCCCTTCACAGCTGTGTTGCCTTCTCTGACCGACTTAGAATGTGACTTCCACAGCCTTCTGCCTTGTAGGTTCTCTCACCTGAACAGGCTCCACTGTGGATTCCATCTTCTGTTGTCCACGGTGGTTCTCCTTGTTCCAACTTGAAGAATACATCCGGTTTGCTGGCTTGATACCCTGTTCATGGGAAAGGATAGAGGACTTAGACATATCAAATTGGGCTGGCAATGTCAAGAGGAAGAACGCTACACTTCAGGAAACTTGAGTTTCTTAAAATATGGAAAGTTTAGTTTTATATCTGAAACTATGAAAGTTCAGTTTCATATCTGTAACATCAAGGTTTTTCTCTCACAAGAGGGTAGATTACACCATCGTGTGTGGGAGCAAGAGAAGGATCTGAGAATCTAACACTTCAGAGTACTGCAGGCATTCCAAAGAGGTAAGCATCTGAGAAAGGAAGGCCACTGACTGGGCACCCTCTGAGTGACACAGGGCAGCTGTCCTTACCCACTGCCACCAGGTTGCTGTAGTTCTCCAACATCACGTCCCGGTACAGGTCCTTCTGAGCAGGGCCCAGAAGCTGCCACTCCTCCCAGGTGAAGTCCACAGCCACATCCTCCAGTGTTACGGATTCCTGTAATAACAGTCCTGTTTAATAAAGTGATGTATTTTTGATGATATGGAAGAAATGCTAAAGTTTTTCTGCTCATTTCCACTCTACAGGCTGTGTGTTTATACCAAATAGTTGTTTTTTTAAAAAAAAAAATACATTGTGGAAGAAGTAAAGTCCTAATATAATATTATGTCATTGTATATTCAATTATCCTCCATTCACCCATGTGGGGAAAAGAAAGAGAGATTAGACTGTTACTGTGTCTATGTAGAAAGAAGTAGACATAAGGAACTCCATTTTGTTCTGTACTAAGAGAAATTCTTCTGCCTTGAGATGCTGTCAATCTATAACACTAGCCCCAACCCTGTGCTCGCAGAGACATGTGCTGTGTTGACTCAGAGTTTAATGGATTTAGGGCTGTGCAGGATGTGCTTTGTTAAAAAAGTGCTTGAAGGCAGTATGCTTGGTAAAAGTCATCGCCATTCTCTAATCTCAAGTACCCAGGGACACAATACACTGTGGAAGGCCGCAGGGACCTCTGTCCAGGAAAGCCAGGTATTGTCCAAGGTTTCTCCCCATGTGATAGCCTGAGATATGGTCTCCTGGGAAGGGAAAGACCTGACTGTCCCCCAGCCCAACATCCATAAAGGGTCTGGGCTGAGGAGGATGAGTGAAAGAGGAAGGCCTGTTTGCAATTGAGATAAGAGGAAGGCATCTGTCTTCTGCTCGTTGCTGGGCAATGGAATGTCTTGGTGTAAAACCCAATTGTGTGTTCTATTTACTGAGATAGGAGAAAACTGCCTTAGGGCTGGAGGTGAGACATGCTGGCGACAATACTGCTCTTTGCTGCACTGAGATGTTTGTGTAAAGTCAAACATAAATCTGGACTACATGCACATCAAGGCACAGCACCTTTCCTTAAACTTATAAATAAGTTTGACACAGAGATCTTTGCTCACATGTTTTCCTGCTGACCCTCTCCCCACTATTACCCTATTGTCCTGCCACATCCCCATCTCCGAGATGGTAGAGATAGTGATCAACAAATACTGAGGGAACTTAGAGACCAGGGCCAGGCGCGGGTCCTCTGTATGCTGAGCACCAGTCCCCTGGGCCCACTTTTCTTTCTCTATACTTTGTCTCTGTGTCTTATTTCTTTTCTCAGTCTCTCCTCCCACCTGATGAGAAATGCCCACAGGTGTGGAGGGGCAGGCCACCCCTTCATTCCAATTGGAAGTTTCTATAAAGTGTGGAAGTTAAATCTTGCTAACCTAAAAACAACATATTTACACATTTTATATATGTAAATATATATGAATACATGTACATATATTTGTTTACATAGATGCAGACAAAAGACATATATACAGTCGTCCTTTAGTGTCTGTAGGGTATGGGTTCCAGGACCTCCTGAGGATGCTCAAGTGTCTGATATAAAATGGCACAGTATTGGTCAGGCACAGTAGATCACACCTGTAATCCCAGCACTTTGGGAGGCCAAGGCAGGAGGGTCACCTGAGCCCAGGAGTTCAAGACCAGCCTGGGCAACATGAGACCCCGTCGGTACAAAAAATTTAAAAATTAGCTGGGTGCAGTGGTGAGTGCCTGTGGTCCCAGCTACTTGGGAGGCTGAGGCAGGAGGCTCATTTGAGCCCAGGAGTTAGAGACTACAGTGAGTATGATCATGCTACAGAACTTCAGCCTGAGCAACAGAAAAAGACTCTGTCTCTAATAAAATAAAATAAAATGAAAGAGTACTTGCAGATTTGCATGTGACCCACGCACATCCTCCTACGTACTTTTTTTTTTTTTTCAAACAGAGACTCACTCTCTCTCCCAGGCTGGGGTGCAGTGGCATAATCTCAGCTCACTACAACCTCCGCCTCCCGGGAGCAGGCAATTCTTCTGCCTCAGTCTCCCAAGTAGCTGGGACTACAGGCTGTGCCACTACACCTGGCTAATTTTTGTTTTTTGTTTTGAGATGGAGTTTTGCTCCTGTTGCCCAGGTTGGAGTGCAATGGTATGATCTCAGCTCACTGCAACCTCTGCCTCCCAGGTTCAAGCGATTCTCCTGCCTCAGCCTCCCGAGTAGCTAGGATTACAGGCGCCCACCACCACACCCAGCTAATTTTTTGTATTTTTAGTAGAGACGGGATTTCACTATGTTGGCAAGGCTGGTCTCAAACTCCTGACCTCAGACGATCCACCCGCCTCAGCCTCCCAAAGTGCTGGAGTTACAGGAGTGAGCCACCACGCCCAACCCCATATACTTTAAATTATCTTTAGATTACTTATAATATCTAATACAATGTAAATGCTATGTTAACAGTTGTTATACTGTATTGTTTAGGGAATCATGACAAGAAAAAGTCTGTGTGTGCTCAGTTCAGATGCTTTAAAAAATATATATTTTCAATCCTCAGTTGGTTGAATCCATGGATGTGGAAGTCATGGATATGGAGGGCCAACAATATATCACAAATCCAGGCCTCCTATTTTTCTGATGGACTAATTATAAATTGAGGGTTCCCATGACTTTCTCCTTGACTTTGATAATTTTTCAAGGAGAAGGAGAAAATCAAGTAATGGAGAAACAATATCCAAAGATGTAACACCGAAAATTTTTCAGAACTGATTAAACACTCCAAACTTCAAACTCAAGAAATCCAACAACTAAGAAGTCTACATGTAGACACAACAGATTGAAACTAAATTACACCAGATACAAAGAGGAGACTATAAAAGCATCCAGAGACCAAAGACAAGTTACCTACAAAGGAGACAAAATTTTCTGACAGCTGACTGCTCCAGAGAAATTATTATAGCCAATAAATATCGGAACAATAAGTGTTAAGGTCCTAAGCTCTTGAACAACACAGCCCAACCCTGAAGACCATTTGGGACTCAAAGGCATGGCTGGCAAGGGACCTACAGCCCTGTAATAGTGACAATTAAGACTGCTTATCAATGAATTGTCAATCTCCTGTCTCAGGACGCCTTTAAAGAATACTGCTGGGTGGAAAATTGAGTCACTGAAGACCCAGGGAACAGCAGAAGGTATACTCTACACTCATTTTATTATAGAGGCCAGTGAACACACTTGATAGATGATATAAGTACTTAATCCTGGTTGGTTTACCCATTCTAAATTATTTATGTGAGATATCTATCTATTTGGTAAAAAGTAAAGTGACAGTCCTACCTCAATCCACACTCAAAAATAATTTACTATATGACAGATCTATGGCAGGCAGATGGCTCAATGAACTCCACCCTCCCAGTGTTCACACCTTTATGTAACTCCTACTTGCAGAGAGCCAAAGGCCTGTGGGACGTGACCAACTCAGCATTCCACTGGAGGCTACATGATCAAACAGCAAACTGTTTATCATGAATGCAGGATGTGAGCAAACTCATGATTGCTCCTACAGACAGAAGGTTTTCTGGAGGCAATCACACCCTGGCGCTGAGGTTATCTACTGCAACATCTAGAGAATGCAGTCTTGTGAGTCTACTCTGGACTGAGCAGCTGACCCCTTCTTCCACTGCACCCCACTCAACTATCTCTTTTGCCTAAAAATACGGAGGGCTGTGTAAAGCTCAGAGTCCTTGTCCACTAGAGGCAAGGTACCCCCGACCTCTTCTTCCAAATATACTCTTTTATCTCTTGTCTTTTATTCCTGTGTTTGCCACCCATTGTTCCGTCCCCCTAGGTCCATGCAGGTTACCAGTGGCGCCCAAACAGGGACAGAATTGGGTGCTCTACACCCTCTCCTTAAGCATGGACTGGCCTAGTGACTTACCTCTATTCAGAAGAATATGGCAAAGGCGTTGGAATCTCACTTCCTTAATTAAGCTATACGTGTTTAAAACAATTATTCAATGATAATTGTTAAAGTACAGTAAGGAAGACTTTATTCAGGGCCATTATGATAGGCATATAGACAAATGTAATGGGATTTTGCAGTGGTAGAGGGTGACTGAACTCAACTCTAAATACAGCAAAAGCAAGTGGGAATTAACAGCCAAGAAGCAGAATGAGGGTCAGTAATAAAAAATTACCAAGAGGGCCAGGTGCAATGGCTTATGCCTGTAATCCCAGCACTTTGGGAGGCCAAGGCAGGAGGATTGCTTGAGCCCAGGAGTTCAAGAGCAGCCTGGGCAACACAATAAGACCCTATCTATATTAAAAAAAAAAAAAAAAGAAGAAGAAGAAGAAGAGGAGGAGGAGGAGGAGAAGGAGGAGGAAGGAAGAAGGAAGATGGAGGAGGAAAAGAAGAAAGGAAGAAAGAAAAAAAGCAGAAAAGTAAAAAATAAAAAAAACATAGTCAACGCAACCCTGCCCGCCCCCCCCCCCACACACAAAAAACATGTTTATGATCTTTTATCATTTTTCAAATTAAATACTCGATTCTCTCCTAACCCCCAATGGTAACAAATGCATTTTTTTTTCAAGTATCACTATAAACTGATGGAATTTTATACAATGAATGTTCTTCCATCATTTGCAATCATTGGTCTTTGGATGCTCAAAGTATAGCATCTGAGGCCAAGGAAGAGTCCCTTCAAGTTGGCTGGTATGTTCTTTGAAATATGATTCTATCATGTAAAAAATATATATATCATAATAGATATATATGTTTATGTCTACAGGTAGATTCATATATACTCATGCTTTTGTTAATACATATATAGACATAGATCCACACACAGATACAGTGACAGGAAGTAAATATTACCAACCATTTACAGAAGGGGATTAGAAAGAAAATATATGAAAAGGTAACTTTTTCTTTCTTTCTTTTCTTCAATTTTATTGAACAGAGACAGGGTCTCACTAGATTGCTCAGGCTGGTCTCAAACTCCTGAGACAGCCTGAGATATGGCCTTGTGGGAAGGGAAAGACCTGACCGTCCTTCAGCCCGACACCCGTAAAGGGTCTGTGCTGAGGAGGATGAGTGAAAGAGGAAGGCCTGTTTGCAATTGGGATCAGAGGAAGGCATCTGTCTCCTGCTCGTCCCTGGGAATGGAATGTCTCAGTGTAAAACCCGATCGTACATTCTGTTTACTGAATAGGAGAAAACCACCTTATGGCTGGCTGGAGATGAGACACGCTGGTGGCAATACTGCTCTTTACTGCACTGAGATGTTTGTATAAAGTCAAACATAAGTCTGGCCTATGTGCACATCAAGGCACAGCACCTTTCCTTAAACTTATTTATGACACAAAAACCTTTGCTCACATGTTTTCCTGCTGACCCTCTCCCCAGCATTACCCTGTAGTCTTGCCACATCCCCCTCATTGAGATAGTAGAGATAGTGATCAATAAATACTGAGGGATCTCAGAGACTATTGCCGGCATGGGTCCTCCATATGCTGAGTACCGGTTCCCTGGGCCCACTTTTCTTTCTCTATACTTTGTCTCTGTGTCTTATTTCTTTTCTCAGTCTCTCGTCCCACCTGATGAGAAACACCCACAGGTGTGGAGGGGCTGGCCCCCTTCATATTCCATAGTAGTACATAAGGAATCCTTCAAGAAATAGCCACAGGAAACCTGCATCTGCATTTATGAGAAAGCTGCTATTCTGGACACCATCTGCCACATCATCTCTAGGAAGAACCACTGAAGAAATTTCCTGAGACCAAAGTGCCATGAAATAATGGCATCCCCCCAGGAAGTAATCTGTTTTATATTCAAAACCAGGACATACCATGTAAATCATGATTTTCTTGTGATATTGGCTGTCAGAGATATTAGATGCAAGCTGACAGCTAAAATAACCCACAGGATCTTCCAGCCATGCATGATGTCACAAAATTCATAATTCAGTGTTAATGCTATGAACATTATCTTCCTTATCCTACTATTTTGCATGATATTGAGTTTAAAACTAAGCTCATTTATCTCCAGATCCTGCTTTTTGAAATTTATGCTTTTTATATTAGTGAGATAGATGTGTATAGGCTTCTACAAATCTATTATGGAACAAAGGAAAGAATAAAATAAACCAGGCCGGGCGCGGTGGCTCAAGCCTGTAATCCCAGCACTTTGGGAGGCCGAGACAGGCGGATCACGAGGTCAGGAGATCGAGACCATCCTGGCTAACATGGTGAAACCCCGTCTCTACTAAAAATATACAAAAAAAAACTAGGCGGGTGCCTGTAGTCCCAGCTACTCTGGAGGCTGAGGCAGCGTAAACCCGGGAGGCAGAGCTTGCAGTGAGCTGAGATCCAGCCACTGCACTCCAGCCCAGGCGACAGAGCGAGTCTCCATCTCAAAAAAAAATAAAATAAAATAAAATAAAATAAACCATAAGTCAGTTACCTGGGCCTGGATCATTTTCTTCTGTTCTTGGAAAACAGCATTCAACTGGGATGGTCTGTCTTTGTATCTTCTGGACTTCTCTTCAGAAGTCTCAGTCTTCAATCAAGTGTGCCCCTAGAAATGGTGATACCCAAATCCACTTCCTTCCTCTTCGGGTGATGCTTTTTCTCCTGAGGAGTCAGAACCTGTGGGCTGAAGAACAAATTCAATGTAAGTGGTACATTTTCTCTGGGCCCAGATACTGTCACTGCTTCTCGGCACTCATCCTAAAACAATGCCCCCAATATAGTTAACTATACCTTTATTTGGAGCCCTAGAAGATTTTATCCCTCTGGCCAATAATGTCGAGGATGCTTATTGGGGTGGAAGTATGCCTTTCCTCTGTGATGTTTCTGTGAAAGGACTGTGAAGGCATGCAGGAAATGAGACCCACCGTAGCAGCACGCCTCAGGAGCTGCTGAACTCTCAGGCAGATTAGTTTTAGAAAAGAGACAGTCAGCAAGGAGAGGAGCTGGTCTGTTTTCGTTTAAATCATGTGTGTTCACACACCTCTTCAACAGTCTTTGTACATACACCCTGTGAGGACATGTACTTCAGTTTGAAAGCCAATGCACTGGGCAAATCATAAGCATTGGCATAAAAACAGTAGTGACGATATTTTAGGTTTTAAATACATAAATAGCTAAAATACACAATAATTTACTGGATAAATTAGGTGATAAATGAAGTTGACGTGCTCTAAGGTTTCTGTAGAATGGAAAAGTCCTAATTAGCAGAAGAATATGACAAAGGTTGCACACTACATGTAATCTCTAGTGTTACAATTAAAACTAGTAAGTCCAGGCACAGTGGCTCACGCCTGTAATCTCAGCACTTTGGGATGCCAAGGCGGGCGGATTACCTGACATCAGGAGTTTGAGACCAGCCTGGCCAACATGGTGAAACCCCATCTCTACTAAAAATACAGTCATTCCGGAAGCTGAGGCAGGAGAATCACTTGAACCCGGGAGACGGAGGTTGCATGAGACAAGACCGTGCCATTGCACTCCAGCCAGGGCAAAAAGAACGAAACTCTCTCTCACACACACACAAAAACAACAACAACAACAACAACAACAACAAACCTAGTAATTGTTTTAAAGTACATAATTTCCAAGCCAACAAAAGGGGGAAAAATAATAGTAAGAAAATCATCCAAAAGAAAAGAATCAAAAACAGAGAGCAAAAAGAGCAAATACAATGCATTAGGTAGCTGTTTTAAAATAAAATGTACTAAGAAAATTACATTACATTAAGAATTTATGCTAAGTAAAAACAGAACATGGATTCCAGTTAATTACATTAAATATAAATGCCTCAAAACTGTTAGAATGGATTAAAAATTAAAATCGAATAACATCTGGGTTTTTTATTTTATTTTATTAATTTATTTATTTTTGAGATAGAGTCTTGCTCTGTTGCCCAGGCTGGAGTGCAATGGTGCGATTTTGGCTCACTGCAACCTCAGCCTCCCGCGTTCAAATGATCAAACAGCAAACTGTTTATCATGAATGCAGGATGTGAGCAATCTCACGACTGCTCCCGCCGACAGAAGGTTTGCTGGAGGCAATCACTCCCTGGCACCAAGGTTATCTACTGCAACATCTGGAGAATGCAGTCTTGCAAACCCTACTCTGGACTGAGCAGCTGACCCCTTCTTCCACCCCACCTTCTCACTATCTCTTCTGCCTAATAAATATGGAGGGCTGTGTAAAGCTCAGGGCCCTTGTCCACTAGAGGCAAGGTGCCCCCTGATCCCTTCTTACAAATATACTCTTTTGTCTTTTGTCTTTATTCCCGCGTTCGTCCCCCTTTGTTCAGTCCACCTACGTCGGAGCAGGTTACAAATGGCAACTCAGAACAGGCACTCCAAGGACACCCAACTAGTGGCATCCGAACATGGGACTTCAAGGATGTGAATGGTTGAAGTTGTCTGCTGGAGCAGGGGAACTGAAATTGACAAGGTGAACGGGGACCCCGGGATGAGTCTGCTGGCAGTGGATATAAGGTCAGTGCCCTAAAGAGGCACTGGGAGCAGTGCTTTAAAGAAGTACTGGAAAATTTTCTGAATCAGCGTAACAAGGGAAAGAATTTGTCTACTGAAGAAAAACATGATGTGCAGTTGCTTAAAGTTCTGTTGAGACAGTCTGGAGCTCAGGTTAATTCGCAGACACTTACTAACCTGCAGAAGCCACAAAAAGTTATTACGCATAACCCATGGTTTCCACAGGGAGGCACTCTTGATGTGGAAAAGTGGGACAGAGCAGGAGAAGGATTAAAACAGGTTCAACAAAAAGGTTTTAAAATTGATTCTTCTGTTTTATCTACTTGGAGTTAGTTCGTACTGTATTTCTGCCATTATCTCATTATTATTCTGCGGGACAGCAGGCTGAATCTAAAAATCTGAAAGAATCTGTTACCCCACCCACAGTTCCAATTGAAAATAAAAAACAGGAGGAGAGGGAGGATAAAAACTGGCCTATAACGCCTCCTCCAGTTGCAGAAACATCTATATAGCCTCCTTCGGCGGCAGAAATAGAAACCCCAATACAAAGAATTTTATGCTCTGCTGTCATAGCTGGAGAGCCCTTAGGACCTTGTGCTTTTCCTATTTCCATAAGGCCTGATCCAAACAATCCACAGCAGATTATTCATGAACACACCCCACTGGAGTTTAAGTTGCTGAAGGAATTAAAAGCAAGAGTGGTAAATAATGGCATACAGAGCCCATTCACCTTAGGATTGCTAGAATCTGTGTTTGGTGCTATGTGTCTTTTACCCTTTGATGTGAGACACTTGGCGTGAACTTGCTTGTCTACTAGTGCATATCTGACATGGAATTTAAATTGGCAAGAAATGTGTGCAGACCAGGCTAAACAGAACCGTGTTGCTGGATACGGAGACATTACAGAGGATATGCTGTTAGGTAATGGCCCTTATTCAGACCTAGAACATCAAATGGCACTCCCAGATGCTGCTTATCAGCAGTGTGCACAGGCTGCTAAACACGCCCGGGCCACAATCCTGAAGAGGGAGTCCCAGCACGATCCTTTTTATATATCATGCAAGGGTCACAGGAACCCTATGCACAATTTCTTGCAAGATTACAAAAGGCAGTGAAGCATTAGATTCCTCGTACTATGGCTGCAGAAATGCTAACCTTAACTTTAGCTTTTGAGAATGCAAACGTGGATTGTAAACGTGCACTGGCACTGGTGAGGGGTACAAAAATCTTGGTAAATTTTCTCAGAGCTTGTCAGGATATAGGAACTCAGTTTCATCGACCTGCAATGTTAGCATAAGCAATGACTAATTTAGCAGTTGACAAATCTAAAAGGAGCCAAGGGTCAAACCCTAAAATGGGAAAATATTATAACTGTGGAAAAACTGGACATTTAAAAAAGGAATGCTGCCAGATCTCAGGACAGAAAGGATATTACAATGCAGTTCACTCCCCAGCAGAAAAAAACACCAGGACTCTGTCCTCACTGTAACAAAGGAAATCACTGGGCTAACTAGTGCTGCTCAAAATTTCATCAGAATGGCACCCCCCCCACCCACCGTCAGCAAACGAGACAGGGGCCTGGACCCGGGCCCTTCAAACAATGAGGGTATTCCCAGTGCAGATCACAACCCTGTTTCAGGGATGTGTTCCTGGAGGCACATTGACTCCCTCAACCCAGGAACACCAGGAAGTGCAGGATTAGATCTACCCACCAGAGAAAGAATCACATTAGTTAGGGGAGACAAACCTATCAAAGTTCCCAATGGTATTTGGTGACCTTTACCAACAGGACACACGGGACTAATTTTAGACAAAAACCGCCTTAACTTGTAAGGCACCACTGTAGTCCCAGGAGCGATTGACTCCGATTACGAAGGAGAAATTCAAGTAGTTTTAATGTCACAAGATCTTTGGGTTTTTGAACCAGGAGAATATATTGCTCAATTATTGCTTATTCCCAGTGAAGTACACCCTTCCCCATGAAAAGAGAAATGAGGACATAAAGGGTTTGGGAGCACAACTACACGGGAAATCTATCTATGCCAACCCATAGCCTCTAATAGACCTACCCATGTAGTACAAATTAAAGGAAAGACATTTTATGGGCTTATGTATACAGGAGCTGATGTGTCAGTAAAATGTATAGGATGGGCACATCAAACATTACACTGCATGTTGAAAAGACAAAAAGGGTGTATAGGATGCCAACTACCACCTCAATCAAAACTATATTTAGCCTTATTTACTTTAAATTTTCTGACTCCTGGTATGGATGGTAAGACTCCAGCAGAAAGACATTGGCAAGTGTTGGAGGAAAACAGGAAAGTTTATCCGAAAGTGTTATGGAAATCCCCAGAAGAAGGACAATGGAAAGGCCCGGTGGATTTACTGACATGGGGAGGAGGGTATGCTTGTGTTTTACAGGAGATGGACAAGCCATGTGGTGCCCTCAAGGTTCGTGTGACCATGGAATGGGAGGCTGAAGGAACCCAGGGTGGCCAACCATGGGCCCGGTCCCTCCTATACGAGCCATGAGTCAGCTGAGCCTGAGTGCAAAGATGGAGAGAAGGCCAACCAGAGTCACAATGACATCAACCCCCATAACCTGGGGACAACTCAAGAAAACCACGCAGGAAGTTAAGAAACTACTGGAGCATCAGGGACAGGCAAAAACCCCTGACTCCACGTTCTTGGCCATGCTAGCCATAATGTCCTGTGCGGTATGTTTTCCCTGTGCACAGGCAAAAACATATTGGGCATATGTTCCCATCCCCCAGTAGTACAGCCTATACTTTGGAGCTCACTCCTCCTGAGATTTATCACGATCAGGGAGAGTCGGCTCCAGGACCCCTCACTCCCCCGACATAGAACATTTAGACTCTCAGAACAACGTCATTAATTACACCGCTCCACTGGAAGGATTCCCTTTGTGTATCACCACAAAGACATTGCTCAGCCACAGCTGTCTTACAATTCAAGCTCAAACATGGTTGAGTCACTATGGAAAAATCATGTACTTATTAAGTCTTGGTTCTATTAATGTAACTGGTGTGTTAACTGACCATTCCCGGTCTAATCACCCTAACTGTGCTGATTATACAGAATGGATTCCATTCAATAGTTCCTACCCCACTCCGTGGACCCAGCGTCTTGGTCCACTGACTAGTAAACAATCTATGCTAACTGGAGACATTGTGGATTGGGGACCTAAAGGTCAATTAGATGGAAAAGGTGAAAGTCAGAAATCATGGCACAAACTTTGCTGCATTGGTGGCAAGCTTTTAATGCTGCTTCTTTATACAACACCAGGATCCAATCCCAGTCAGCCACTCAGATTGCTTGGCATGGAGCGGGCGTTAGCCCACCTCTTCCTTAGTGGCATTATCTGGGGAGGAAAGGACCAATTCAAGAAACGATATGGAAGGCAGCACTCCCATTTATGAATGGCAACATCTGGATTGGAACACTAATATTAGCAATAGTAAGCGACACAGTCTTAATGTTGCATTTGTAAGGAATATCACCAGTCAATTTACAGTTTGTGTTTTTAATCCTCATGTCTTTTTGGCAGCTAAGAAGCACCAGCTCCAGGTAAACAACACCCAATTTGTCCGGAGCTGCGTGGCCCGGCCATAGCGATTATAACTGACGACTGACGCCTGAGCTCTATACATTTCCACTTTATGCCTCCTCCCTAGATTTACTTTCTTCCCTGTTCTGCTGTCTCATTCGCCAGTACAAAATGGCGCTCTTCCTGGTTCTTCATCACCCATTTTCCCGCGCCCCGGAAAATGATCAACTTACAGCGCAGGCGCCATCGCGCGCCTGGGAAAATTACCAACCGACGGCGCAGGCGCAACATGACGTCCAACCGAAGAAACCGAGACCTACCTGGCCACGCCCACCGCAGGGCCACCATCATCGCCCTGGCCCAACCTCCGCCCCTGCCGGTCTATATAAGGCATTACACTGCCACCAATAAACGAGACTTGATCAGGATACTGTCTTGTCTCCATTTCTCGTGTCTCTTGTCCCCCCGAGATCCCACTCCCTCTTCTAGGGCCTACATTGACGATCCCGTGGGACGGGACACCAATTGACCTGTAAAGCTTGTCAGTTATGTCACTGCATTAATCATAGCACATTGCAAACACATAGTATCTCTACATTGATGATTTTAGGTCGCATCCCTGGGCTATGGATTCCTGTTCATCTGTCGAAGCCGTGGGCTGCCACACCTGCTTTGCATTTTGTGAGACTTCTTCTAACTCAGCTTACTCATTGTGTCCATAGAGCCTTAGGCATGATAATTTTTGCTACTGTTTCCTTGGTCACACTAATAACTTCTGCTGTGATATCTTCTGTAGCTTTGCATAATTCTATTCAACCAGCTCAGTATGTGGAGAACTGGACATGCACAGCCAACCAAGCGTGGCTACTTCAGAATAAAGTTAACACTGAGTTACAAACTGAAGTGGCAATGTTGAAATCCACGGTTCTGTGGTTAGGGGAACAAGTACAAAGCTTGCAGTTGCAGCAGCAATTGCATCATCATTTTAATCACGCTCATATTTGTGTTACCAACTTAGAATACAACCAAAGTGAGTATCCATGGGACCTCGTGAAAGCCCATTTGCAGGGAGCTTTCACATCCGACCTCACCTTTGATATTGGTGAATTACAAAACAAAATTCTTGATTTAAATAGGCAAACTCAAGAATTTCAGCCTTCTTTAGAAGACTGGACCAAATTCCAGGAAGGCCTGGAGAGCCTCAACCCTCAGACCTATCTAAAGAACCACAGTAACATCTTACATGTAGTTCTTGGAATAATGTTGTTTTGTCTCTGTCTTCTGTTCATAGTCTGTAAAATCGGATGGACTGCCAATCGGAGAATGAGAGCTGCCCAGCCTGGCCTTACATTCTTTCAATTAATACATAAACAGAAAGGGGGCTATGCAGGGAGCCAAAGGCCCCTGGGACGTGACCAACTCAGCATTCCACTGGAGGCTATATGATCAAACAGCAAAGGGTTTTTCATGAATGCAGGATGTGAGCAAACTCACAACTGCTCCTGCAGACTGCTCCCACCGACAGAAGGTTTGCTAGAGGTAATCACTCCCTGGCACCGAGGTTATCTACTGTAACATCTAGAGAATGCAGTCTTGCAAGCCTACTCCGGACTGAGCAGCTGACCCCTTCTTTCACCCCCACCCCCGACCCTTCTCACTATGTCTTTTGCCTAATAAATACGGAGGGCTGTGTAAAGCTCAGGGCCCCTGTCCACTAGAGGCAAGGTGACCCCTGATCCCTTCTTCAAAATATACTCTTTTGTCTCTTGTCTTTATTCCCGCGTTTGCCCCCACTTTGTTCAGTCCCATAGGTCCATGTGGGTTACAGCTCGCCACCACACCTGGCTAATTTTTGTATTTTTAGTAGAGATTGGGTGTCACCATCTCAGTCAGGCTGGCCTTGAACTCCTGACCTCATGATACACCCGCCTTGGCCTCCCCACATGCGGTTATTATAGTTGATATGTCCGAAACAAAATGATATGGGAAGTTTGAGAATAAAAGGTTGGAGACAATATGTCACAGAGAGAGTAACAAAAGATAATCTGTTATAACTATATCTTAGACAAAACTGACCAGAAATCCTAAAAAATTATCAGAAAGAAAGAGAAACAATGCTCACTGAAAAGAGGTGCGATTTGGCTCTTCATTCATAGAAATACTCCACATATATAACAACGGTCTTGAAATGTATACAGCAAAAAATAGAACCAAAAACAAGAAATAGAAAATTCAGACTAAAAGAAGACTTTAACAGACCTCTCCTGACAGAACAAACACACCATCAACAAACAAAATAAAATGTAAAAATGAGAAAGAAATGAAACCTTTTATCTGAGGAATGTGACTCCTTTTAAATTATCAGGTCTAGAGAGGCATTAAAATGTGACAGCAGTCTTTCTGATACGGGTTCCCCTGAAAAAAAAAAAAAAGAAAAGAAAAGAAAAAATTAAAAACTAAAAAAAAAAATGTAATGTGACAACAGTCACATCTCATTTCCCCCTCAAGCTAAATAATTGTCTCTTAAAGCCACTTGTATGTAGGCTCTAGACGAACTCACACCAAGTAGCCATAAAATGCCATTCACTGGAAATGATAACTCATAAAACCCCATAGTTAACAATGTATAGCCAATCACTAATTGATGTTATTTCTGTAAACCAATGAGAATTCTTGCCAAACAACTTTATGTCAGCTCACGGTTTGTTCCCTTTTGCCTTTAAAACCTGCTTGTAACAAAATCCTAACAGAGCACTTACCAAGGCAACCTGAAAGTATTTTCCCAGGCAGCTGTCCTCATTTCAGCTCAAGTAAACCCTTTAAAATTTTATTTTGTGCAGTTTCCTCTTTTAGGTTGACATAAACAATATCATTTAGAAGAACTCGAATATATTTTTAAAATTAGAAATACTGAGATAAATTTTAACAGTTTTAAATAAATTCAAAGATGTACTATAAAGATGGGCTGGAAAACAAAGCATTTTTAAAATGTCAAGTCTCCCAAATCTACAGATTCAACAAAATCACAGTCAAAATCCCAAACTGATAATGAATAGTTTAAATAGCTATAAACTTTTTTTTAAGTTTGAAAAAAAAGTCAGAAGACTTTCCATATGAGTTATGAGGACTTATAAAGATACTTTAATTAGGACAGCACAATATTAGTACAATAATGGACAAATAGGACAAAGGAACAGAATAAAATCCTTATAAGTGGAATTAACCACATATAGAGACTCAATGACAACGACAGCACTACAGGGAAGTGATAAAGGCTGTCTTTTCAATAAATAGAACTGAGGGTGCTGTGGCTGGTGCCTGTAATCCTAGCACTTTGGGAGGCTGAGGTAGGTGTGGGGGAAAGAAACAGAGATCAGACTGTTACTGTGTCTATGTAGAAAGAGGAAGACATAAGAAACTCCATTTTAATCTGTACTAAGAAAAATTCTTCTGCCTTGAGATACTGTTAATCTGTAACCCTAGCCCGAACCCTGAGCTTGCAGAAACATGTGCTGTATTGACTTAAGGTTTAATGGATGTAGGGCTGTGTAGGATGTGCTTTGTTAAAAATGTGTTTGCAGGCAGTATGCTTGGTAAAAGTCATCGCCATTCTCCAGTGTTGAGTACTCAGGGACACAGTGCACTGCGGAAGGCCGCAGGGACCTCTGCCCAAAAAAGCCTGTGTATTGTCCAAGGATTCCCCCAACTGAGACAGCCTGACATATGGCCTTGTGGGAAGGGCAAGACCTGACCGTTCCCCAGCCCAACACCCGTAAAGGGCCTGTGCTGAGGAGGATTAGTAAAAGAGGAAGGCCTCTTTACAGTTAAAATAAGAGAAAGGCATCTGTCTCCTGCTCGTCCCTGGGAATGGGATGTCTCAGTGTAAAATCCTATCATACATTCTATTTACTAAGATAGGACAAAACCACCTTATGACTAAAGGTGAAACATACTGGCAGCACTACTACTCTTTACTACACTAAGATGTTTGTGTAAAGTCAAACATAAATCTGGGCTACGTACACAAGACACAACACCTTTCCTTAAACTTATTTATAACACAGAGTCCTTTACTCACATGTTTTCCTACTGACCCTCTCCCCACCATTACCCTATAGTCCGGCCACATCCCCCTCACAAAGATGGTAAAAATAGTAAGCAATAAATACTAAGAAAACTCAGAGACCAGTGCCAGTGCGGGTCCTCTGTATACTTACTGAACAGAGGACTGGGTCCACTCTTCTTCCTCTATACTTTGTCTGTGTGTCGTATTTCTTTTCTCAGTCTCCACAGGTGTGGAGGGGCAGGTTCCCTTCAGGCAGGTGGATCACTTGAGGCCAGAGTTCGAGACCAGCGTGGCCATCATGGTGAAACCCCGGCTCTACTAAAAATACAAAAAGTAGCCAGGCAAGGTGGCACATGCTGGTAATCCCAGCTACTCGGGAGGCTGTGGCACAAGAATCACTTGAGCCCGGAAGGTGGAGGTTGCAGCTGAGCCAAGATCCTGCCACTACACTCCAGCCTGGGCGACAAGAGCAAGACTCTATCAAAAAAAAAAAAAAAAATCAATAAATGGTACTGGGGATGGGGACAGAAGGTTAAACTACCCCTCACAACATACACAAAAACCATTTAGGATCAACTGTCAATTTCAACAGTAGAAACATATCAATAAAGCTTTAAAGAAGATTAATTTAGGAGAATCTCTCAATGTTATTAAGGTATGGCCAGATATTTTAAACAGGTCACATAAAGCACCCTATAAAGCAAACTCTATTCTGCTAGGGGAACAACCACTTTAGAAAACAGTTTGACACTTATTTTGCCTAAGTTTATACACACCCTATAAAGCAGCAATTTTATTCCGAGGCGTGCATCTAGGTATATACCTCTGCCTCCCCCAAATGAGAGCACATATGAACCAAAGGACATTTACACAAATTTTCATAGATGCATTATTCATAATAATACAAGCTTTAGGCAATACAAATGTAATTAATAATAGAAAAAAACCTGCTATATTTTACATAATGGAATGTGATAGAAAACCTATTATACTTTTGGCCCAGCCTGCAAGAATGCTTTTTATATTCGAAGCAGACGCCGCATCAATCCTAAGCGCCACCTCCATCCTTTACAAGCAGAGTGATCCATAACTTGACAGTTAGGACACGGTCGTTGATCACCACAGACCCTTAGTCATTGTATTCACACCAAAGGGACGCGGCCCACAGACAGGGGGATCACAGACTCCCACCAGGTATCTCCCAAATGCCTGCACCCCGGCGCTCCCCGGTCTTCCTGCGAAACACTACGTGGTCCAGGATACAACACGTCCTCAGACCTCCCAAACCTTCCACTGAGACAAAACCTGAACTGGGACAAAAAACTTTCAGAGACAAAACCACACACTGACCTCTATCTTCTCCAGATCCACAAGGAGGGCCTCAACGTTACACTTCCGTAAACTGCTTCTACTTCTGGAGTCCTCGCACAGGTTTATGGTCCACCTACGGCGGCCGAGGAGAACCTAAAATGTTAAAAGAGCAAGGACAACCGCATTTACGGCGTTTCCTAGGCTGTAATATGGCCGCGCCCACAGCTGTGGCTCCATGACGGCAGCCATGTTTGAAAATCAGACGTACAGAGGCAATGGCAGGTTTTTGAGCCAGCAGCCAGGGAAGATGAGAAGTCACTGAAATCGCCTCGTTTCCTGGCACTTAAAGTCTTGAGAAAAGGGGCAGATTTTCAGAGACTCAAGCTTTATCAGGCAAATATGGGGCAAGCTAAATTTCCTTTAGCGCTTTGCCATCCACTTTGTTAAATTAAAAAAAAAAAAAAAAGGATTTTGAAAAAGACAAGTAACAGTGCAGCCAGGTGTAGGTATCCCAGAGAATGAATTGGAAATGGAAAAGGTAACACATCAGGTAGAAAGGGAAAAGGCAACACATCAGGTAGGCAGACACCCACGGGAAAGCGTCTGGCAAAAAACAGCTTGCAGGAAGCGGTTTTTGAGAACAGAAAAATAGCAAGTATTCGGGGTGGGGGATGAAGAAAGAAAAAATAATTGTAATTTTCTTGAGGCAGAGTCTTGCTCTGTCCTCAGGCTGGAGTTCAATGGCAAGATCTCGGCTCACTGCAACCTCTGCCTTCCCCGTTCACGCGATTCTCCTGCCTCAGCCTCCCGAGTAGCTGGGACTACAGGCACGCGCCACCACGCCCGCTAATTTTTGTATTTTTAGTAGAGACGGGGTTTCACCATGTTGGCCATGACGGTCTCGATCTCCTGACCTCGTGATCTTCGTGCCTCGGCCTCCCAAAGTGCTGGGATTACAGGCGTAAGCCACCACGCCTGGCCTCGAAAACATAATTATTATTTAAAGAAGAAGAGGAAGAGGAAGAGGAAGAGGAAGAGGAAGAGGAAGAGGAAGAAGAAGAAGAAGAAGAAGAAGAAAGAAGAGGAAGAAGAAAGAAAAGAAGAAAGGAAGAAGAAAGAAGAAAAGAAAGAAGAGATTTCAAGAAGGAGTTATGATGTGAGCCTGGCCATGACAGACTAAAGGAAAAGAGGAAGCACCTGAGTTAAGATTGGGGTTGGGCCTCCTAGGAAGGCCACTTTTAGTAAAGGTGCCAATGGGAAGAGCAGAACCAGAATTGAGAGTATAAAAATACTAAGAGCTTTTTGACAAAAGTGCCAAGACAATTCAATAAGGATAGTCTTTTCAACAAGCGGCACTGGGATAACTGGATATCCACATGCAGAAAAATTAGTTAAGACCCTTAAACCATACACAAAAGTTAACTTAAAATAGATCATTGATCTAAGTGTAAGAGGTAAAAGTATAAAACTTAGAGAAGAAAAAGGGAGATAATCTTCATGGACGTGGGTTAATTCTGAGAGGAGAGTAAAGGATGAGCCATAAAACGAAATAAAATTAATAAAGTGGACTTAATTTTTTTTTTTAAGTTTGTGCTTCTAAACACAACATTGAAGAAAGTGAGGTGGGGCACGGTGGCTCACACCTGTAATTCCAGCACTTTGGGAGGCCGAGGCAGGCGGATCATATGAGGTCAGGAGTTCAAGACCAGCCTGGCCAACATGGCGAAATCCGTCTCTACTGAAAATACAAAAATTACCCGGACGCGGTGGGACGCGCCTGTAATTCCAGCTACTCGGGAGCCTGAGGCAGGAGAATTGCTTGAACCCGGGAGGCGGAGGTTTCAGCGAGCCTAAATCGCGCCACTGCACCCCAGCCTGGGTGACAGAGCAAGTATCCTCGGTAAAGACACCACTTCGTCACCCTGAACCACTCTGATTTTTATGGGTGCAATGAGAAGAGTGGATGCAGGAAGACAAAGTTTTTTAATAGAAACCTTCAGGACAGGCCGGGCGCAGTGGCTCAAGCCTGTAATCCCAGCACTTTGGGAGGCCGAGACGGGCGGATCACGAGGTCAGGAGTTCGAGACCATCCTGGCTAACACAGTGAAACCCCGTCTCTACTAAAAAATACAAAAAAAAAAAAACTAGCCGGGCGAGGTGGCGGGCGCCTGTAGTCCCAGCTACTCAGGAGGCTGAGGCAGGAGAATGGCGTAAAAACCCGGGAGGCGGAGCTTGCAGTGAGCTGAGATCCGGCCACTGCACTCCAGCCTGGGCGACAGAGCGAGACTCCATCTCAAAAAAAAAAAAAAAAAAAGAAAGAAACCTTCAGGACAGATTTGGACTTGAAAGACTGACAGGAAGTGTTTCCAGCATCCAGTTAGTCTCAAAGCAACCACTAACCTTCAACTGCACACCTCAAAGCCTCCAGCCTCATTACATTCTCAAACACAGACAAGCCCCGTCTTCCCTGAAATAAAACTGCCTTCAAATTCAATTTAAAACTTACTGCAGAGGCACTCCTTTGACACTCCCCCCCCAGACCTTTCATTCACGCACTCCTTTTCCTAGCTCGGGCTTCTCTGTGTCTGAGCCCCATATTAAATTGCAAACCTGAGCAAAAAACTGCATTCACTGAGAGACACTTTCCATCCAGTTTTCAATTACTGAGACCCATGAAGAGTGAATATGTAGACCCCAAGTTCTGTCCGTGGGACCCTCAGTCATTAAACTCTTAAAACTAAGCCTTAACCTTCGACCTCCCAAGGGTTCCTTTCTCACACCCATATTCCTCGGTGACTAAACTGAAATAAAACCCCTGAACATGGACATTCGCATGCATTTCCACTTCGTGGTCCCCACAAGCTCCCCATCCGGATTCACACGCTGCATCAGGCTCTCAAGGCTACAGTAGCAGCTACCAAAGGCCGAACACATATCAGAACCTACTTCCGATTCTGGAATTCTGGCGCTGCAACCCCATCCTTCGCCATCTCTAAGAACACCGAGAGGCTGGGAGGCGGGCTTCCGGAGAGGGATATGCGACGTTTCCCAAAGTCCAAGTTCTGGCTTTGAACATTTTATATGAGGTAACATAGGTGTTTTACCTCATAGAGCATATTATGTCATTTCTGATGGGAGTGACCGTAACGGTTGCCATGGCTCAGGGAGGTGGGAAGAAATGCAAATGTCTTTGGGGGACTCCAGTACCCTCCCTTCCTCCTTACAAGAGACTGTCACGACACTGCGCTAACTGCCTAGGTTTTCAGAGGCCAGAAACTATCTAAGGAGCAAAATGGAAAGATGGCTGCATCCCTGAGCCGTTTGGCAGCAGCACCACGGGAACCACCATCTTACAGAAAGTCCAGGGTCCATAAAACAGAAGAAACTGCAGACAACTGGCTGGATGAGGTTTGTAGAAGCCAAGATGTCACTGGGGCGGCCACAACAAAAACACTGAAGGTTTCAGTCCTGTTCAGGTCTCACTGGATGTGCTGTGAATTTTAGTAGTAAAAGGAAAAAGGAGTTGAAGATGCAAAATGTTCAGGTTCCAACAGCAGCAAAAATAACATATTTGCAAATAAACAGCCAAGAGTCATTAATACTCAGAAAACAAAGCAGTCATTAAAACTAACTCTGAGTCCGCCCTAGTGAAGAATAGTGGACAATAGCTTCAAAGCCAGTATGATAAATATATTAAAAAACATAAATGAAAATATTTCAGACATATTTAAGTGTTTAAAGGAAAATATGGCAATAATTCCATAAAAGAAAATCTCAATAAAGACATTGAAAATAAAGAATCCAATATAAATGTTCGTGCTGAAAAATACAGTAACAATTAAAAATTCACATGACAATATCACCAGCAGATTGCAATGTCAGAAGAAACGTTGAGCAAATTTGAAGAGCAAAAGAAATTATCCACCAGAAAGAAAAGAAGAAAAGTTTTAAATACTTGTAAGACATCAGATGTACCATTTTTTTTAAATAGAGCTGGAGTTTCGCTATTTTGCTGAGGCTGCTCTCAGACTCCTGATTATCAAGCAATCCTCCTGTCTTAGCCTCCCAAAGTGTTAGGATTACAGGCATGAGCCACAACACCCAGGCCAGATAGGAATCAAAAGAAAAAAGTTAACAAAGAATATTTTAAAAGATAATAGCTAAAATTTTAGGATTACAAAGGAACTTCCTGAACCTGGTTAAGAAAAAAAAAAGTAAGTAAAAAAGATTCTATAGCTAACATATTTTTAAAGACTGAATATTTCTCCCCTAAAATTGCAAACATGGCCAAAACGTCCACTCTTACTGTATCTATTTAACAGAGTGGAAGCCCTAGCCCGTGAAGAAACGTAAGAAAAGAAAAAGAAAACACTGGAACGCAGAAATATCACTGCCCGTCTTCACAGAAGACATGATTATACAAATAGAATCCCAAGGAGTCTACAGAACTAGACAAGTGAGTTTAGCAGTCATAAGGTGAAAAGTCAACACACACTCAAATTTTATTTCTAAAGAATAACAATGAACAATTGGAAGCTAAATTATGAACACAAGAACATTTGTAATAGTTCCAAAAATATGGCCAGAAGCAGTGGCTCACACCTGTAATCTCAGCACTTTAGGAGGCTGAGGTGGGCAGATCACTTGAGCCCAGAGTTCGAGACCAGCCTAGGCAACATGGTGAAACCTCATCTCTAAAAAAAAATACAAAAATTAGCCAGGTGTGTTGGTGCATGCCTGTAGTCGCAGCTACTTGGGAAGATAAGCAGGAGGATCACTTGAACCTGGGAGGCGCAGGTTGCAGTGAACGCAGACTGCACCACTGCACTCCAGCCTGGGCAAGAGAATGAGGCTCTATCACAAAAAAAAAACCACAAAAATAATGGCAGGCCAGGCACGGTGGCTCACGCCTGTAATCCCAGTACTTTGGGAGGCCGAGGCGGGCAGATCACAAGGTCAGGAGATAGAGACCAGCCTGGCTAACACAGTGAAACCCCGTCTCTACCAAAAATACAAAAAAAATTAGCCGGGTGTGGTGGCGGGTGCCTGTAGTCCCAGCTACTTGGGAGACTGAGGCAGGATAATGGCGTGAACCCAGGACGCGGAGCTTGCAGTGAGCCGAGATCGTGCCACTGCACTCCAGCCTGGGCGTCAGAGTGAGACTCCATCTCCAAAAAAAATAAAAAAATTAAAAAATCACTGCAAAAATATGATCCACTTAAATATTTACCAAGACATAAATAATGTATATGCTATAAATTCAGAAACACTGACTTAAAAAAAAAAAAAAGCAAGGAAAGCCTAATTAAGTGGAGAGACATAATTGAAGATTCAACACAGTAAAGATGGCAAATAAACCAACTTTGATTATACATTTAATGCAATCTCAATAAAACTCCCAAAGGACTTTTTGTGGATATAGACAAGCGTATACTTAAAATTTATACAGAAAAGCAAAGAAACTAGAATAGACAAAACTATTTTGAAAAAGAAAAATAAAGCTGGCAGACTCTACTCCATTTTATGACTAAAATCACAATATGACAATAATCGCTATATGGTATTATTAGTGGAGTGATAGACATGCACATCAACAGAATAGAGTCAAGAAATGGACACAAGAACAGGCAACTGATTTTTACAAATGTTCAAAATCAATTTAATGGAAAGAGGACAGTGTTTTAATGGAACACTTTAATGGAAAGTGTTTTCAATACTGTTGAATCAACTGGGCAACCATAGGCTGAACTTTAACCCTTACCCTGTATACAAAGATCAATTTAAATGGATCATATTGCTAAACATTAAAAGCAAAACTGGCTGGGTGTGGTGGCTCACACCTGTAATCCCAGCACTTTGGGAGGCCGAGGTGGCCAGATCACAAGGTCAGGAGATCGAGATCATCCTGGCCCACATGGTGAAACCCTGTCTCTACTAAAAATACAAAAATTAGCTGGACTTGGTGGCGTGTGCCTGTAATCCCAGCTACTTGGGAGGCTGAGGCAGCAGAATCACTTGAACCCGGGAGACGGAGGTTGCAGCGAGCCAAGATTGCACCACTGCACTCTAGAATGGGGGACAGAGCAAGACTCCATCTCAAAAACAAAAGAATACAAAACAAAAAAAATACAACAGCATCAAGTGGAAGAATGCGGAGCAACTGAACCTCTGTATATATTGCTGGTGTGCAATGAAACACCACTCTGGTTAGTATCTTACAAAGGTAAACATACACTTACCTTATAACACATGAATCACACTTTTCAGTAATTATCCTAGAGAAATGAAAAATTGTGTTCACGCAAAGCCTGTGTGCACAAATGTTCATAGGATTTTTATTTGTAAAAATAAGAAAAACTGGAAACAACCCTAAAGTCCTTCAGTGGGTGAATAAACAAATTGTAGTATATTCATATCATAGATTATTAGTGACCAATAAAAATAAAACAATGCTATACAAAACAATTTGGATGAATTTCAGGTTAATTTGCTTTAGGTCAAATAGCCAATACCAAAAGGGTACATGCTGTATGATTCCATTTTTATAACATGCTACTAATGACAAAACTAAAGATGAAAAGATTTCTGATTGCTAAGGGTTAGGGTTGAGGAGAGGTTGTGACTATAAAAAGGTAGCATGAGGGAGTTTGCACTGATGCAAAATGCTGAATCTCGATTGTGGAGGTGGTGACATGAATCAATATATTTGATAAGATTTCTTAAAGCTACATATAAAAACCAAACAAAAATGCACGCATGTTAAAACTGGTGATTTCCAAATAAATTCTGTAGTTAACAGTATTGTAACAATTTCACTTTCCTGTATTTGGTAATGAACTATGCTTATGTAAGGTGTTATCTTTGGAAGAAGCTGGGTTAAGCGCATTCAAGAATCCTGGGATATTTTGGTAAGATTTTGTGAATCTAAACTTATTTCAAAATAAAATCTTACACATCTTATTTATATTAATTTCATAACACCTGATGTTACTTATAAACTTAAACACATTCAAGTATGTTCAATTACACTTATGAATTGAATATACTGTATCCAGTTTCATTCTGAAGTACTTCAGTTATTCTGAAATAAGACAAACTTAGAACCAAAGAAATGAAGGAGTTAATCATATAACAAAATGAGGCAGGCAAAAAATATTCCTATATTGTATACAATATTAAATTTTAATTCATGATTAGAGGAAGTCACAATTTAAAATGTATAAAATCAGTGACAAGGCAACTAGGAATATGGCTCAAGATATCCTGTTCCCAAATGCACATGAGGCTATTATCTTCTAAGGTTATAATTGTGACAGAAAGCTCTCATCCATCATTTTGTCAAGGCTTCTTTCTTGCATTAAGTTCTCTGACATTTTCCTGAAAGTCTTGTACATTGAATGTTTTCATAAGTTATTTTCTGCATTATTTCCTGGCACATGATGAGGCAAAACATTTTATTGAAAACCCTGCCATATTCACTGCCAGAGGAAAGTATTTCTCAAGTGTGAACTCTCTCAATCTATTGAGGTTTTATTTTTGGGCAAAGATTTCCCTATAATTATTACATTTCCACCAATTAGTAGTTTATTCATGATCTATGATCACTTCTGAGGGGGTTTATCCTCCCACCAAAGGCTTTCATAGTCTGCCACATTCATAGGGTTTTTCTCAGTATACAATTTTTAGACATAATGTCCTAAAATATTTTCTCAAATGTTTTGTACTGTTTTCTCTAACACAAAATATGAGGTAATTGATCACTAAACAAACAAACATAGTCTGCATTCACGAAATTACTCTTCTTTGCAGATATCTTGAGGGCCTACACTTGGCAAGAGGCTTTCCCAAAATGACTACCTGTGAATTCTCTTGTGTTTAACAAGGATAGACAAGTGGGCAAAAGCTTTCCCACAATCGCTACATCCATAGGGCCTCTCTCCTGTATGTTTTCTTTGATGAACATTGAGCCCTGACTTTGTAGTGAAGGCTTTCTCGCAGTCACTGCATTTGTATGGTTTCTCTCCCGTGTGAATTCTCTGATGTGTAATAAGATCATTTTTGCGCAAAGAGAATTTTCCACATTCAGTGCATGCAAAGGAAGTCTTTCCTGTGTGAAATCGCTGATGTTGTATGAGGCATGTCTTCTTCCTGAAGGTTTTATCACATTCATTGCATTTGTATGGCTTCTCTCCAGTATGAGTTTGCTGATGTATACCAAGAGTACTCTTCATGGTGAAGCCCTTTCCACATTCATTGCATATATAAGGTTTCTCCCCAGTATGAGTTCGCTGATGTGCAATGAGCATGCTTTTGCCAGTTAAGCCTTTGCCACATTCACTGCATACATAGGGTTTCTCTCCTGTATGAGTGCGCCGATGTACATTGAGATGACTCTTCTCAGTGAAGCCTTTTCCACACTCATTGCAAATATAAGGTTTCTCTCCTGTATGAGTTCGTTGATGTCCCATTAGCCGGATCTTTGCTGGAAAGCCTTTTCCACACTCACCACATACATAGGGTTTTTCTCCAGTATGAGTTCGTTGATGCACAATAAGGCGGCTCTTCACAGTGAAACCTTTTCCACAATCATTGCATGTATATGGCTTCTCTGCAGTATGAGTTCGTTGATGTACAATGAGGTCACTCTTCATGGTGAAACCTTTTCGACATTCAGTGCATACATAGGGTTTCTCTCCAGTATGTGTTCGCTGATGTCTGATGAGTGGGCTCTTTAAGGCAAAGCCCTTTCCACACTCATTGCATTTATAAGGTTTCTCTCCAGTATGAGTTCGTTGATGTACCATGAGACAGTGCTTCATTGAAAAGCCTTTTCCACATTCACCACATGTATATAATTTCTTTTCTGTATGAGTTTGCTGATGTGTGATAAGACTGTTCTTCAAGGTGAAGCCTTTGCCACATTTATCGCATATAAAGGGTTTCTCACCAGTATGAGTTCGATGATGTGCAGTAAGACGCCTCTTCTCAATGAAGCCTTTTCCACATTCACTACATATATAAGGTTTTTCTCCTGTATGAGTTTTCTGATGTGTAGTGAGACTGAACTTTGTAGAGAAGGCCTTCCCACATACACTGCATCCATGGGGTTTCTCTCCTGTATGAGTTCGTTGATGATAAATGAGCCGACACTTCTTGATGAAGGCTTTCCCACATTCACTACATGTGTAAGGTTTCTCTCCCATATGAGTTTTCTGATGTATATTGAGCTGTGATTTCTTGAGGAACGTTTTGTCACATTCAGTGCATTCATAATGTTTCAGTCCTGTATGAGTTCTCTGATGGTCCATTAGCCTGGATTTTCTGGAGAAAGCTTTCCCACATATACTGCATACATGAGGTTTTTCTCCAGTGTGAACTCTCTGATGATCAATAAACTGAGACAACTTGAGGAAGGCTTTCCCACATTCACTGCATACATGGGCATTCTCTATGTCATGAGTTCTCTGTTGCTTAACGACCTGGGACTTATTAATAGGTTTTGCAATTGCAGGAAACTTCATTTCAGTATAAAATTGTTTATGGTTAGCATGAAAAAGGGATTTCCCATCTCCATTAAACTCAGCAGAGTTCTTTAGGCCAGAGCTCCTTTTCTGGTTTTCAAAACTTAAATTTGATTTTAAAGGTTTTTCATGTAAGTCAAAGGTATCAGGATCTTGCTTCAGCAGGAGATGACTTTTGTTCTGATTAACACTATTTCCAAACATATTCTGTTCATGGCATTGTTTCACACTCTTCTGGATACTTTGATTTTGCAAGTGATGCTGCAGAGGATCATCAATTTTCCTGATTTCTAGGAAAGAAGAGAACAGTCAATCACTCCATCTTCTTGTTTTGAAATAAACTATTTAAACTATTTTTAAAAACTGCCTTGGTGTGAGGTGACTCTTTAGTGAAAACCCTATTTTATTTATTTGTTTTTTGTGTGTGAGCAATAAAGCTTTTTAATAACCTGGGTGCAGGCATACTGAGTCTGAAACTAGGTGCAAGCTTTCAGGCTGAGGTGGGAGGATTGTTTGAGCCCAGGAGGTCAAGGCTGCAGTGAGCCTGGGTGACAGATGAGACCTTGTTTCCAAAAAAAAAAAAAAAAGTATGGAGAAACTCAGTATTCAGTATAGGAGGAATAAGAGAACTTAAGAACCACATAGATGCCAATAGAGCCAGGTTATCATGGGCACAGCATCCAGAGTGGAGAAAATGAGGGAATAATGATTCCCAGAGTGGGAATAATGAAGGAAAATTATTATTTTCCTACTAGGGCAGGAAAATGCAGTAGGCAGAAAAAAGTCATGAGTGCAAAGGTCTCTCTTTCTGGAGAGTCCTGGAAAGTGGAATTTCATAGCAAAAGAGGTAATACACAAGCAGAGACAGAGTGACAGTGGACGAGAAAAAGCAGATTTGAAAATCCTAAGAAGATAATTATGTAGACAAAAACAAGATGTGTATAAAATAAACAAAGATGAAATCTCAAGGAAAAAAAAGTGGAGGCCGGGCCTGGTGGCTCACGCCTCTAATCTCAGCACTTTGGGAGGCCAAGGCGGGCAGATCATGAGGTCAAGAGATCAAGACCAATATGGTGAAACCCCATTTCTACTAAAAATACAAAAATTAGCTGAGCATGGTGGCACGTGCCTGTAGTCCCAGTTACTCGGGAGGCTGAGGCAAGAGAATCCCTTGAACCCGGGAGGCAGAGGTTGCAGTGAGCCAAGATCGTGCCACTGCACTCTAGCCTGGTGACAGAGCGAGTCTCCATTTCAAAAAAAAGAAAGAAAGAAAGTGGGGCATATTTTCCATACTACAACAAAAAAGAGCTCTTCCTGGGAAGAAGGAGTCATGGAGGGGCTGTTGCTGTGTCTTCAGATGCCCTCACTGCTTTGACGTCTGCTCTGTGTGAGCAGAACATGATGTCTGTGGCTGTCCACCTGGCTGGTCCTCTCACTCACCACAACAGATTCGAGTGTAGATTTCATCTTCTGTTGTGCAAGGTTCTTCTCCTTGTTCCAACTTGGATAGTGCATCTGGTTTGCTGGCTTGATACCCTGGTCATGGGAAATGACAGAAGATTTAGACAAATCGAATGGGGCTGGCAATGTTGAAAAAGGAGAGTGTTACATTTTAAGAACTACACAGATGTCAAGTCTGTAACATCAAGGCTTTTCTGTCACAAGAAGGTAGATTATACTCTCTTGTGTGGGGCGAGAGAATGATGTGAGAATCCACCACTTCAGAGTACTGCAGGTAAGCAGCTGAGAAAGGAAGGCCACTGACTGGGCACCATCTGAGTGACACAGGGCAGCTGTCCTCACCCACTGCTACCAGGTTGCTGTAGTTCTCCAACATCACGTCCCGGTACAGGTCCTTCTGAGCAGGGCTCAGGAACTGCCACTCCTCCCAGGTGAAGTCCAGAGCCACATCCTCCAGTGTTAGGGATTCCTATAATAACACACTCCTGTTTAATGAAGTGATATTCTTTTGCTGATAGGAAAAGAATGTCAAGGAAGTCATTCTGCTCATTTTCCCCATATAGGAAGCTGGTGGGGTTTTTTCCTCAGTACATTGTGACAGAATAAGAATCCTAGTAAAATATTCTGTAATTGTGCAGTCATCCATTCATTCAACAACATTGAAAGTCAAAGAAATGTCTGTAATATACAGCTATCCAATCCTCTTGCTAGTGAAAGAACATCTATAATATATAGCATCTATTTCCCAATACCAAACTAGTTATAAGTATATGCTAGTTACAAGTAGATGAATAATACAGATTCTTAAATTCACTATGAGCTTTCAGGCCAATATCAAACTCTGTAATGAAGACATGGCAGATGCTAGTATCACCAGATAATGCATACTAAATAACTATGGTTAATATAATTAACCATATTATTATTTTATTCTGAATGAAATAAAAGAAACGATATAAAACACGTATAAAGCACAAAGATTATTAGATGATTAAGCAAATTTATTTTTTTGTTTGCTTGTTTTGTTTTTTTGAGATGGAGTCTCACTCTGTTGCCCAGGCTGGAGTACAGTGGCACAATCTCAGCTCACTGCAACCTCTGCCTCCCAGGTTCAAGCAATTGTCCTGCCTCAGCCTCCCTAGTAGCTGGGATTACAGGCGCATGCCACCACATCTGGCTATTTTTTGTATTTTTAGTAGACATGAGGTTTTGCCATGTTGGCCAGGCTGGTCTCATACTCCTGACCTCAGGTGATCCACCCGCCTCGGCCTTCCAAAGTGCTAGGATTACAAGCGTGAGCCACAGCGCCCGGCCATGATTAAGCAAATTTGGGGAAAAAAAAAATCCTTAGAATATATATGTAGACACATGTATCCACACAAATTCATATGTATGTGTATGTTATTAGACAGCATTAATAACATTAAATACAATGAAGAAACAGCTACAAGAAATCTACTTTTGCATTTATGAGAAGGCTGCAGTTAAGAACACCAACTACCACAACACCTTTGTGAAGAACTATCAAAGATGTATGTGAGTCTCAGAATTATATGCCACGAAACATTAACATCCCTCAAGAAACTGGACTGCTTTCTCACAGCTGATGTAACTTACTATGATCCTCTTGTATAGCTGTCAGAGATACTAGAGGCAAATTTACAGCCAATGTAACCTATGGGGTCCCACACAGTCACAAATTTCAACATGAATCATGTACTACGAATCCTATATCCCTGATCCTTCTTTGCCCAGATTTCTCCAGGTCCCGATATTTCCAATTTATTTATTTATTTATTTATTTATTTATTTATTATTTATTTATTTATTTTTTTGAGACGGAGTCTCGCTCTGTCGCCCAGGCTGGAGTGCAGTGGCGCGATCTCGGCTCACTGCAAGCTCCGCCTCCCGGGTTCACGCCATTCTCCTGCCTCAGCCTCCCGAGTAGCTGGGACTACAGGCGCCCACAACCGCGCCCGGCTAATTTTTTTTGTATTTTTAGTAGAGACGGGGTTTCACCGTGGTCTCGATCTCCTGACCTTGTGATCCGCCCGCCTCGGCCTCCCAAAGTGCTGGGATTACAGGCGTCAGCCACCGCGCCCGGCGATATTTCCAATTTATACTTTTCTGATTAATTACCTTGATTTTTACAAGACTCTAAAAATACAATGGAGAATAAAGGAAGGAATAAAACAAACCAAAAGTCACCTGGGCCTGCATCATTGTCTCCTAAATTTGGGAAATGACTGCTAACTTGGATGTTCTGTATTTGTCTCTTCTGAATCAGCTCTAAATTTCTGTTCAGAAACTTCAATCGCCAATCAAGGATGTCCCCAGCAATGATGACACCCAAGTCTTGGAAACTCTGCCTCCTTCCTTCACTTGATTTCTCCTGTTCTCAGCACCTGTGGGCTGAAGAGCAAATTACTCTGAGTGGTACATTCTTTTTAGGCCCAGATGTTGTCACTGTTCCTATATGCTCACCTTAAATCAAGGCCCCCAAATATCTGTCTGTTCTTTTATTTAGTGCTCCAGAAGCTTTTATATCTGGGCTAGTAAAATATAATATTCTAAGTATAGGGGAGGTACAGCACCCTTCCATATAAAGTTGACATAGTATGATTACTGCTAGTAAGTGAAAGAGAATGTGGGAAAAAGAATCATCACACATGATGCCCAGCAGGAGGGCAATCTTCAGGCAGATCAGTTTTAGGAAAGAGGTCACACAAACAGCTAAGATGCATACATTTTGTCTTTAAAACCATGTATACCCATTTACCTTTTCCAGAGGTCTTTTTACATTCTAGGATGCATATTACTATAATTTGAGAACATTGTCCTAAGCAATTGATAAGCACTATCTTATTTAAATTATTCATTACCATCCACATCTTTAACTTTTTTTTTTTTTTTGAGACGGAATCTTGCTCACTCCATCGCCCAGGCTGGAGTGAGTAAGACTCCAGTGGTGTGATCTCTGTTCAATGCAACCTCCATCTTCTGGGTTCAAGCAATTCTCCTGCTTCAGCCGCCCAAGTAGCTGGGATTAAAGGTGCATGCTACCATGCCCAGCTAATTTTTGTATTTTTAGTAGAAACAGGGTTTCACCAAGTTGGCTAGGCTGGTCTTGAACTCCTGACCTCAAGTGAGCCACCCATCTCGGCCTCCCAAAATGCTGGGATTACAGGCGTGAGCCACTGCACCCGGCCGCCATGCACATCTTGATACTTGCAAAGTATTATAAATGTATAAAGGATACTCAGCAAAAATATCCTTGAGGAATTACATATTACAACAAATCCTAATGGATATTCTTCAAGCAAAAGAAAGATGACTCCAGTGCAAGCAGAGGAGCAAGGTCTGAAGAGCAACAAAATGGTAAGTAAGTAGTAAAATCTAAATCAGCATTGACTGGAAAAACTTCCTGAAGTTTTAACATATATAGTGTTAAAATATTCCATAAGAACATATAAAGTAGGAAGATGGCAAACGAAAAAGTATTTTAAGATGTCTGCATAGCAGAAGAGTAAAAAATACTAATTACCATAACATTAACAAATAAGTTTATATGTTATTCGTAATCAATAGTGTCAGCAATAAAACTAATTTAAAAAAAATTATTTCCACATTAAAAGAGAGGTCTATGGTTTCCGTGGCAGCTACTCAACTCTAGCTCAAAAATGCCCATATACAAAAAAAACGGACTAATGATTGTGGCCAAGTCCCAACAAAACTTTATTAACAGAAACAGGCGCTGGGAGATTTATTCCATGGGCTCTAGTTGCCCAACTGTGAATTAGTGCAGAAAAGCCATATTGTCACCTAAATCAACAGTCAGTAATATAGTATCCAGGACCTGAACCACCAATAAAGTCTTATGGGAACACAGCTAGATGCATTCCATGACATCTCGTCTCAGACTATTGTCACATTACAATGGCAGAGTTGAGAATTTGGGTCTAGAATGCTACTCAGTAGAATGCGGTATAAAAAATCATCAAAGATGACGTTTGAATATAAGGGGCAAATTATCAGTATTTGCTTAAAATGTCTGTATTCCGTTAGTCAGGTGGCTGGATACAAAATTTAAATAGAAAAATCTTATATCCTCCTAAAGCATACACAGATCAAGAGTCAGTATTAAGAGCAGAATAATTCTGGGAATAATTTAACATTCTATTGAAAATTGCCAGTAAAGGTACCCCTGGTAACCCAAAACCCATTTCTAGAACTTTCTGAAAAGGTAATATTGGCAAAAGTTACGTCCGAAAAATATTAGCATTCTACACTTAAAATAAAATTGCTGATGGTAGCTCAGTAATATAAGTTTATGGCTTTAAATGTTTTCATTAACAGAAAAAAGAGAGAAACAAGGCGGGAGAAAGGGAGAGAAAAAATGAATATATGTACAAATTTTACAAAAGACAAAACCATAAATAATCCTCAGAAATAATCGTGGAGAAAAGATGTTTAACTCCTCTTTTGGCCAACAAGGAAAGAGACACAAGTTATGCCAACCACACAATGAGCAAGAAGCAGAATCAGGACTGAAAATTCAGGTTTGTTTCACTTCAAAATCCACTTTTACTCCACTTTATACCTAACCAAAATTATCTGTAAATCAGATGCTTCCTTATTAAGTAAATAAAGAAAGCAATTAAAAGACTATTAGTGGCCGGGCATGGTGGCTCACGCCTGTAATCCCAGCATTTCGGGAGGCTGAGGCGGGCGGATCACAAGGTCAGGAGATCAAGACCATCCTGGCTAACACAGTGAAACTCTGTCTCTACTAAAATTACAAAAAAATTGGCCGGGCATGGTGGCGGGTGCCTGTAGTCCTAGCTACTTGGGAGGCTGAGGCAGGAGAATGGCATGAACCCAGGAGGCAGAGCTTGCAGTGAGCCGAGACAGCACCACTGCACTTCAGACTGGGCGACACAGTGAGACTCTATCTCAAAAGAAAAAAAAAAAAAGGCTATTAGTAGAATAATTCTAATTGATCATATACAGAATTATTTAGAGGAATGGTACTTATGTCTGTAACTTACTTTGAAATATACCAAAATCGACAACAAATAAGGAATGATTCACAAACAGAGGAATGGATGAATACTTAGAAAACCAGTAGAGCTGATCTAATACAATGTTAATGGTAAAAGCTAGGTGGTAGACATACTGGTAGTAACCTCAAACTTCTTTCAATATTTCCATAGGTTCAAAAATTTTCACATAAAAATATGTTAGGCAGAGAGAAAAATACTGTAATACTAAGAATTAAGTAAGATGACCAATTATAAAGTAAATATTTAAAATTAATTTATCTTTTGTTATAAATTATAAGGAAAGGGGAGTCAGAAAGCAATACACTGCAATAAAAGTAATAGTCTAGATTGAAGATTAAAGGCAGGAAAAACAAAATTCGTGGATAAATGGATAACCATAAAACGTTCCTAAAAATGATACCTAAACATTTTAAAACATTTCACTTCTATCCAATCATATGCATAAACTTAATGTGAAAGCACTTATAGTACCACCAGCTCAAACAGTAAAAACAACTTGTAAATGTTTATTACATAACATAAAGCGAAAAAGAAAATAGTACCATTTATGTAATTTATCTGAATTATGAATATTAAGCACATAACATACACGTCTAAAACTGAAATATTCTAAAAATTTGACAAAGGTTGTCTTTGAGTAACCGAGCTTACCATGGCAGAGATGTTATATTACTTGTGTCAGAAAGAACCTGAAAAGAAATATCCAAGAGGAAGACACTGGTAACTTGCAGGACAAAGGGTAGAAGCCGCATCTTAAATATAAAACATACTACTTTTCGGTATGCTAGATGATTGATCTCGCCAAAAACTTCCATTTCCGAGGATTCATCACCAAGGGGTGATGGAGGGTGCCAAAGGGGATTTAAAAACCAGTCGTGGAGAAGGGTCTTGGGCAGAAGGGGAATGCTAACGAGCATCAACTCTGTTCCAGCAGCCAGGACTGGGGCTCAACCCACCACCTGCCATGGATCCCAGGCCTCCAGAGTTGCAGCCCACATCGGAATCTGTAGCGCTACCACCACCGTCACTCGGATTAATTCCAAAACCTGGATCAGAAACTTCCATACCTTAACCCCCAAGACAGTTCCTCAATCATTTAGTCCCAAACAAACCTGAACCAGAAACCGATTCGCTGAGAAAACAAACCCTGCAGTTCGCAATCACTGAGCCCCGCCAAAGGACAACAGCAAAGACAACAGAATGTGACTTGGGCACTCAGTAGCTGATCTCTAGAGATCTTTAACCACAAACCACACGAGGACCCTGTGACTGGTCCCAGAGGCACCCGGATCTCTCTCTCTCTCTCTCACACACACACACACACACACACACACCCCTATCCCCTCCCCCCCCCCCCCCCCACCCACACACACCACACCACACACACCCTATCACGGACCCCTTATAGTTCCCCTGCGATAGGAATCGCACCCACGCTAAGCTCCGAAACCCCCCCCCACCCCCCCCCCCCCCCCCCCCCCCCCCCCCCCCCCCCATACGCACCCACGCTAAGCTCCTGAAAGAATTCCACTGGCGTCGCCAAACGCTGGCGCCGACAGACACCGGTCCATCACCACTGTCAACGAACACGCCCGGCCACGGACAGAATTTCCTCCCCCCGTCACCACAGCGACCGCCCAGTGACTGAACTTACTTCCCAGAACTTGGTCGGCTCTGGCCTCATCTCTCGGCCTCCTCACTGCCTACGGAAGGTAGGAGGCGTTCCCAGCGTTTGCGCAGATGCAACATGGCCGCGCCCTCGTCGCCGTAGCGGCCGCCATCTTTGAGTATCTGACGTACACAAGGCAAAGGGGCCGTTTTGGCGCTGGTGACCGGAGGTGACCGGGAAGATGAAAGGGCACTGAAACTGTTCCATATCCTGGCACCTCAACCCTTCATAAATACGGGTCCATATACAGAACCTCCAGTTTACACAAGACAAAAATGGCGTGGAGGTAAATCCCTTTCACCAGCTGACTAGAAGGCTAAGATGGCCGCGACGTTTACATTTTGTACAAAGGTTAGGAAACAGTTCCTTGTGAGGGAAAAGGAGAACCGACCAAGAAGGGACGCGTCCGCCCTTTGGCCGGATTTCTAGCAGAAAGTGGCCTGAAGCGCCTTTTGAACGCAGAAGAGGGCTGCTAGCTACGCTGACGGAACAGGGGTAGCAGTCACAGACTAGGTAATGAAAACGGTTGGAACGTGCCAAATTTATGTTGGGTGAAAGGCATGGGGAAAAGCCAGTAAAAGCCAGAAAGTATAGTTCCCAAGGCGGAGGGGAGAGCCTGGGACCCAGGTGGAGCCAAATATGAGGGCAGGACTCAGGAGAAGTGGCCAGAAATTAAGGGAACAGGACCACTTCAGGGAGAAAGAAAGGTTGGATAAGAGGCCGGGCACGGTGGCTCACGTCTGTAATCCCAGCACTTTGGGAGGCCAAGGTGGGCTGATCACCCGAGGTCGGGAGTTCGAGACGAGCCTGACCAACATGGAGAAACCCTGTCTACTAAAAGTACAAACTTAGCCAGGCATGGTGGTGCATGCATGTAATCCCAGCTACTCGGGAGGCTGAGGCAGGAGAATCGCTTGAACCCAGGAGGCGGAGGTTGCTGTGGGCCTAGATGACGTCATTGCACTCCAGCCTGGGCAACAGGAGGGAAACTCCTTCGGGGTGGGGGGGCGGAGGGAAGGAAAAAAGAAAAGAAAGGTTAAGAAAGAGATCATATTATACTACGTGTGCCAACTGCGAATAGTATCCGCAAAGTCATGGTAATGCTGAACTGTAAATATAAATCCAACCAAACCTCGTGTATTAGAAGAATAAGGGAAAGGAAATGCCTGTGTGAATTTGTGTGTGTGATACAGATACCAGTATATGAATATACAGAGAAATTATCAAACTAAAGTCCATGTTCCATTTCCTATTCTCACCTTCTTCTCATCGTCGGTATATGAGATATATTTTTTCTTTTTTTTTTTTCTTTTTTCTTTTTGGTCTCTCTTTTGAGGCAAGGTCCACTCTGTTGCCCAGTCTAGAGTGCCTGGGGAGATCACAACTCACTGTAACTTGGAACTCCTAGGCTCCTGAGTAGCTGGGACTGCAGGTGGGCGCCACCACACCTGGCTAATTTTTAAATTTTCTGTAGAGACGGGGGTCTCACTGTGTTGCCCAGCTGGTCTTGAACTGGCATCAAGCAGTCTTCCCACTTCATCCTCCAAAAGTGCTGGGATTACAGGTGTGAGCCACTTCACCCTTCACATGACCTATAAAGAGATCTGAAAAGAAATAAGAAAAAAGATGGGCGCGGTGGCTTGCGCCTGTAATCCTAACACTTTTGGGAGGCCTAAGCGGGAGGATTGCCACATGGCGAAACCCCATATCTACTAAAAAAAAAAAAAAAAAAAAAAAAAAAAATTAGCTGGGCGTGGTGTCCCAGGCCTGTAGTCCCATTTAGGAAGGCTGAGGCCGGAGCATCGCTTGAACCGGGAGGCGGAGGTTGCACGAGAATCGCTTGAACCCCCGAGGCAGAGGTTGCAGTGAGCCAAGATAACTGCCACTGCACTCCAGCCTGAGAGAACGAGACTCTTGTCTCAAAAAAATAAAAATAAGGAAAAGATGATCAACTTAAAAGCTCCCTAAAATTTCCTATAAATAGCTGAAGGAAATAAACAGGACACATTTTTTTAGTGTAAATGATCCTAAAGAATTTTTAAAATACCAGTTTTACTAATATTCAAACAAATGCAAAGTAAACGTGAAATATAAATGTTTTAACCCTTATTAAGATTCTTAAAGATTGAATGACAAATCATATTTAGATTATAAGGCCATGGAACAAAGGCATTCTGTTGTGCTAAGCCTCTTTAAGTCTTCCTTTTCTGCATGTTAGGTAATAATGTTGTCTATCGCATGCAACTTTAAATGAAGTATTATCATACTTGTCATAATTCAAAGTTCTTGGCCGGGCGCGGTGGCTCAAGCCTGTAATCCCAGCACTTTGGGAGGCCGAGACGGGCGGAACACGAGGTCAGGAGATCGAGACCATCCTGGCTAACACGGTGAAACCCCGTCTCTACTAAAAAAAATACAAAAAACTAGCCGGGCGAGGTGGCGGGCACCTGTAGTCCCAGCTACTCGGGAGGCTGAGGCAGGAGAATGGCGTAAACCCAGGAGGCGGAGCTTGCAGTGAGCTGAGATCCGGCCACTGCACTCCAGCCTGGGCCACAGAGCGAGACTCCGTCTCAAAAAAAAAAAAAAAAAAACAAACAAAAAAATAATTCAAAGTTCTTAAGCATTACATTATTTCTAGGTATAGGATTGTGTTTCTATATAAATTAGTAAAATGTTTTTGTAGTACAGTCTGTTATTACCCAGTTTAAACTTTTCCTTCTCTCTGAGCCATGAATTTTAAGAATTGATTCAATAGAACTTTTCTTTGTGAGAACAAATATGTGCAAGGATATTTATGGTGTTGATCTAACATGTATAAGGAAATAATTTTGTGGTTATTGCATTAATTTATTTTTACATCTCTATATTCACATCTTTGGATAGTATTCCCCATAGTGATTGACCACTGTGTCCAATAGGACAGTAGCAAGCGTAACACAAACAGAGGTGAGAAATAAGCTTGCTCATCGAGGCTTGCTTGTCTCTTGGAGATCTTCTAACACATTGTGATAAAGCCCAGACTAGCCTCTTGTTGACTGTGTAAATAAAGCCCTCATCCATTCCAGCAGAAGCCCAAATATGTGAAAACAACTGTTTAGACCATGCAGCCCCAGTCAAAATCCAACCACTAGAGCCTCCAGGCCAGCAGTCCCAATTGTTACTAAACTTTGTGGACAGGCATAATGCCATGAGTGGGTGGGAGTCACCTAATCTGCCATCCAAGTGCGTATCCCTGCTCCTAGCCAAGCAGGACTTGCCAGCTTAGGCGATGTCCAAGTAGGGAGGGGCCCTCACTCTTGGATCACCATAAGAGGTGAGACAGTAGGGTCTGCAGGACATTGGAAAAGTCCGGCGTGCCTTACTCTCTAGGGCCACCTGGCAAGGCTACAGCTGTCTACAAACAGTGATCTCTGCCTGAGGGGGCCCCGTGAGCAGAGGATGCCCAAGGTCTTGGGAACCCACCGTTTGCGCTAGATTTAATGACTACCCTGCTGGGTTTTGAACTTGTATGGAGCCTGTAGTCCCTTTCTTGAGGCTTTCTCCCTTTTGGAAGGGGAATGTTTACCCAATGTCTGTACCCCCATTGTATCTTGGAAGCAAATAACTTTTGATTTTACAGGCTCATAGGTAGAAGAGATATGCCTTGTCTCAGATAAGATTTTGGACTTTTGAGTTAATGCTGGAATGAGTTAGACTTTGAGGGACTCTTAGGAAGGCATGATGGTATTTTGCAATGTGAGGACATGAGATTTGTGGGGGAGGGGGACCAGAGGCTGAATGATATAGTTTGGATATTTGTTCTTGCCCAAATCTCACATTGAAATGTAATCCCCAATGTCAGCTGGGCGTGGTGGCTCACGCCTGTAATCCCAGCACTTTGGGAGGCCAAGGTGGGCAGATCACAAGGCCAAGAGATCAAGACCATTCTGGCTAACATGGTGAAACCCCGTCTCTACTAAAAATACAAAAAAAAAATTAGCTGGATGTGGTGGCACACACCTGTAGTCCCAGCTACTTGGGAGGCTGAGGCAGAATGGCATGAACCTGGGAGGTGGAGCTTCCAGTGAGCCAAGATCATGCCACTGCACTCCAGCCTGGGCAACAGAGGGAGACTGTCTCAAAAAAAAAAAAAAAAAAGAAAGAAATGTAATCCCCAGTGTTCAAGGTGGGGCCTGGTGGGAGGTGTTTCAGTCATGGGGGCAGATCCCTCATGGCTTGATGCTGCCCTTGCAATAGTGAGTGAGTACTAGCAAAATCTAGCTATTTGAGTGTGCAGCACCTACGCCCTCCACTCTTACTCCTGCTCCCTCTTCACCTTCCACCATGATTGTAAGCTTCCTGAGGCCTCCGCAGGACAAGATGCCAGTGCTATGCTTCCTGTACAGCCTAGAATCATGAGCCAATTAAACCTCTTTTCTTATAAATTATCCAGCCTCAAGTATGTATTTATAGCAATGCAAGAATGGCCTAAAACATGCTGTCTCTACAAAAAAAAAAAAAAGCCAGGCATGATGGTGCACACACATAGTCCCACCTACTTGGGAGACTGAGGCAGGAGGAACACTTGAACCCAGAAGTTTGAGGCTGCAGTGAGCTATAATTTGCACCACTGCACTCCAGCCTAGGCAACAGAGACTCTTTTTTTTGGTTTTTGTTTTGAGACAGAGCCTTACTCCGTCACCCAGGCCTGGAGTGCAGTGGCAGGATCTCAGCTCACTGCAACCTCTGCCTCCCAGGTTCAAGTGATTCCTGCCTCAGCCTCCCAAGTAGTTGGGATTACAGGCACCAACTGTAGAGCATCCGATCCTGTCGCTGTTCGGGGCGCCACTATGTAACCCACACAGACCTAGGGGGACTGAAAAAAGTGGGGGAAATGGGAATAAAAAAGACAAAAGAGTATATATGGAAGAAGGGATGAGGGGGCACCTTGCCTCTAGTGGACAAGTGCCCTGAGCTTTACACAGCCCTCTGTATTTATTAGGCAAAAGAGAGATAGTGAAAAGGGGGGTGGAAGAAGAGGTCAGCTGCTCGGTCCAGAGTAGGGTTTGCAAGACAGCATTCTCTAGATGGCCCAGTGGATAACCTCAAGGAGCTTGGCACTAGGAAGCAATTGCCCTCAGCAAACCTTCTGGCAGCGGAAACAGTCGAGAGTTTGCCCACATCCTGCATTCATGATAAACAGTTTGCTGTTTGATCACATAGCCTCCAGTGGAATGCTGAGTTGGTCACATCCCACGGGCCTTCAGCTCCCAACAGCCCACCACCAGGCCCAGCTAATTTTTTGTGTGTGTTTTTAGTAGAGACAGGGTTTCACCATGTTGGCCAGGCTGGTCTTGAACTTCTGACCTCAAGTGATCCGCCTGCCTTGGCCTCTCAAGAGACCCTATCTCTTAAAAAAGAAAAAGAAAAAAGAGGTTAAGATTGTAAATCCTAAAAAAAAAAATCAAAAGCAAAATCCTATATGTAGATTTCACAGCATCTTTATTTATAACACTTAAAACCAGGAAAACAGTGCAAATCTCTCTCATAGGTGAATGGATAAACAAACTAGTACATCAAATATGTATACTACTCTCTAATATAAACAACTTTCATCTGGTTAGATACATGGTGGTAAAAAAAATAATAATAAAACAATTATTCATCAACTCATATAAACCTTAGGAGTAATTTGCTGAGTGACAAAAATGCCAAAAGCTTACATACTATCAACAAAAATTTATATAACTTATTTATATAAAATTTACAAAAACCATTTACAAAAACAACTTTATTTTTATCACATTCATGAAATGATGAAAATTATACTGACAGGAGAAAAATGGTTGGCAGAGTTAGGTTTGGATGGAGTGTAAGCATAAAAAGGTAGCATGAGGAAGTTTGTGTTCATTAAATAGTTTTATGTGGTTGCAGTGGTTACACGAATCTATACATGTAATACAACTTACAAACTAAGAAATAATCATGTAAAACTTAGTCAAATCCCAAATAAGATTAGTTTACTTTATGGTATCCTACCAATGTTGTTTTTTCTGGTTTTGATAATTATGGTTATGTAGGATGTTTTTCCTAGAAGTTGGTTGAAGGATACTAGCAAAGCCTCTAGATTAGTTTGGCAATTTCTTTTGAGTTCAAATTTATTTAAGTTGAAGGTGGTTTTATAAACTGATCATCTGTATAATCTTAGTCAAGCAAGTCCAAATATGTTGTTAATATATTTAACATATTCAGTTTCTTTTTAAACTACTTCAGTTTGCTTAATGGACTATTAAGCTTAGAGCCAAAGACAGGAAAAGAGCTAATCATAATATGGGGTGGTTCTGGGGTATTTCCTGACACCAATAAATTATCTAATTCCCCCACACCAACTGGGTGTTCTACAAGTTAATTCTGACACCAACTTCTCCAGGTTAGTGCAGGCTCCACAAGTTAAGGGGCTGAGTCCAAACTGCCCCCACATCAGACGCCACTCACAAGGACAACCTGCAGTTCTGAATGGTGATAAATTCCGAGTTCCCACTACCCCTACTCAGGTTTGATAATTTGCTACAGGGCTCACAAAACTCAAGAAAACAGTGTACTTTGTTTTACTGGTTATAAAGGACGCAAATCAACACTCAAATGAAGAGGTACATAGAGTAAAGCCTAAAAAGGGTTCCCCTAATCTTAGGAGTCGCTATCCCTATGAAGTTGGGGGTACACCACCCTCCTGGGCTATTTGGAGTTCTCTTAATCTCATTGTCTAATCTCATCTCCAGCCCCCCTCCCCTTCCAGGAGGTGGGAGAAATGGGCACAAAGTTTCCATCCTCTAGTTAACTTGATCTTCCTAGGGAACAGCCCCATTCAGAGGCTGTCTAGGCACCAACCATAAGTCACCTCAGTAGTATAATCAGGTGTAATGAAAAGGGCAGTGCTATGAATAACAACAGCAGCAAAAACCAACCAACCAAACAAAAAAACCCCACTCCTATCACTCATGAAATTTTAAGGGTTTTAGGAGCTCTGTGCCAGGAACCAGGAACAAAGACCAAATGTATTTCTTATTATACCACAATTTTACAAAACAGTAAAAATAAACAGTAATGAGACACAGTATATTATGGAATCATTGGCAAGGCAACTAGAAATGAGGATTAAGGTATCCTGTCTGAAAATGCACACCAGGTGTATTAGCTGATGTTTAAGGTTAAGCACTCAAATATTCATCATTTTCACCACATTTCATGCCTTCATGAGCTCTTGATGTTTTGCTAAAGGTGTTCCACATTTATTTGATAGCATGTTCGGAACAATTTTACTTTCTATGTGATCTCCTGACAAATGATGAAGCTGAGTGCGTCACTGAAATCCTACCATTAATACTGTCACCTTATTCTCCAGCGTAAACGTTGACACTCACCGAGGTCATATTTCTGAGTAAAGGCTTTGTCATGGTCATCATATTTCTATCAACAATAAGCTCACTTACATTGAAATCTATGATGACACCGATAATAAAGTCTATCTTTCCACAGACTTTTCCTAGTCTCTGCATTCACAGAATTTATCTCTGTATACTTTTCAGACATATGAGCAGAAATTATTGCTCAAAACATCTCCACATTAATATAGTTTATTCAACATGTTTTCATTGACAGAACATATGAGGTAAAAGACCACTGAAGGCACTACCTTATTTACTGTATTCATCAAGTTGATCTCTAGGGCAAATTATTTTAACTCCTGAGGACAGACACACATCTGTCAACAGGCCGCACCATGTTTATGTTCCAAATGGCTAGAAACACACTGATGTTTAATGAAGTCTGAGTTGCCACAAAAGGCATTTCCATAGTCACTGCACTAGTAGGGTTTTTTTTTTTTTTTTTTTTTTTTTGAGACTGAGTTTCGCTCTGTCACCCAGGCTGGAGTACAGTGGCGTGGTCTCGGCTCACTGCAAGCTCTGCCTCCTGGGTTCACACAATTCTCCTGCCTCAGCCTCCCTAGTAGCTGGGACTACAGGCACCCGCCACCATGCCTGGCTAATTTTTTGTATTTTTAGTGGAGATGGGGTTTCACTGTGTTAGCCAGGATGGTCTTGATCTCCTGACCTCGTGATCCACCTGCCTCGGCCTCCCAAAGTGCTGGGATTACAGGCGTGGGCCACCGTGCCTGGCCTCACTGCACTAGTAGGGTTTTCATTCTGTATGAGTTCACTTGTAAGGAAGGAGCTGTGACTCTTCATTACAGGAGTTTTCAACTTGACTGATTCTACCCATTTCTCTTGTGTGCATTTTCTTATGTTTGACAAGGTTTGATAAGTGGGAGAAGGCTTTCTCACAATCACTGCATCCATACGGCCTCTCTCCTGTATGCGTTCTTTGATGTACATTGAGTACTGACTTTGTGGTGAAAGCTTTTCCACATTCATTGCACTCATAAGGTTTCTCTCCTGTGTGAATTCTCTGATGGGTAATGAGACCATATTTGTGTGAATAGGATTTTCCACACTCAGTACATACAAAGGGAGTCTTTCCTGTATGACATCTCTCATGTTGTATGAGGCATATTTTCTGGCTGAAGGCTTTACCACATTCATTGCATTCATAGGGTTTTTCTCCTGTATGAGTTCGCTGATGTATAATAAGAGTGCGCTTTGTGGTGAAGCCTTTACCACATTCATTGCATATGTAAGATTTCTCTCCTGTATGAGTTCGCTGATGTATAATGAGAGTGCGTTTGACAGTGAAGCCTTTTCCACATTCGCTGCATATGTAAGATTTTTCTCCTGTATGGGAGCGCTGATGTACAATGAGATTGCTCTTCACGGTAAAGCCTTTTCCACATTCACTGCATATATAGGGTTTCTCTCCAGTATGAGTTCGCTGATGTACAACAAGATAGCGTTTCATGGTGAAGCCTTTTCCACATTCACTGCATATATAGGGTTTCTCCCCTGTATGAGTTCGCTGATGTACAATGAGATTGCTCTTCACAGTGAAACCTTTTCCACATTCATTGCACACATAAGGTTTCTCTCCACTATGAGTTCGCTGATGAGCAATTAGATAGCGCTTCATTGTAAAGCCCTTTCCACACTCACTGCACATATAGGATTTCTCTTCTGTATGGGTTTGTTGATGTGCAATGAGACTACTCTTCACAGTAGAGCCTTTTCTATATTCATTGGGTATACAGATTTTGTCTCTTGTATTAGTTTTCAGATGCTTAGTGAACAGGACACTTCTGGATAATTTCTCACATTGACCACTTCCAGGATTTTCTGGTATATGAATGTTCTCATGGTAAATGAGCTGAGACTTCCTAAGGAAGGTTTGCTTACATTCAATACATGCATGGGGTTTCTCAATTTTCTGAGTCCTCTGATGCTTAAAGACTTGGAATTTAGTATGGATGCATTTTGCATTTTCAGAAAATCTAGTTTTAGCATGCATACATTCGTGCTTAAGCGTTTTCTCACCTCCAATAAACTCAACAGGGTTATTTATTCCATGTCTTCTCTTCTGGTTTATTAAACTTAAACTTGATTTCAAATTTTTTCTGTACAAGTCAAATGTATCATGATTTTGCACTATAGGAAAATGTGTCTTGCTGAGATGTACAGTATTTCTAAGTGTATTCTGTCCATTGCATTGCTGCACACTCTTCAGAAGTCTTTGGTTTAGAGAGTGCTCTTGCAGAAGACTGTCAACTTTCCCGATTCCTAAGAAAGAACAGAGTAACAAATTCTTCCATGAGAATTGTATGAGATAAAAATGCTTATGAGGCCGGGCATGGTGGCTCATGCCTGCAATCCCAGCACTTTGGGAGGCTGAGGCAGGCGGATCACGAGGTTAGGAGTTTGAGACCAGCCTGACCAATGTGGTGAAACCCCATCTCTACTAAAAATACAAAATTAGCTGGGCATGGTGGCAGCTACTCCCAGCTACTCAGGAAGCTGAGGCAAGAGAATCGCTTGATCCCACGAGGCCGAGGTTGCAGCGAGCCGAGATTGCCCCATTGCACTCCAGCCGGTGGGGGGACAGAGCGAGACTCAGTCTCAAAAAAAAAAAAAAAAAAAAAAATGCTTATGAGATGATTTGCTGGGGGCTGGCTCTTTATTGTCAACTCCATGATCCCAGTATAAAAGGAAATTATGAAGATATAAGCTGAAATAAGTAAGAATCAGATCCAAGAAAACACAAAAAGTCTTTAAAGCCATAACAACATTAAAAAAGTTATCAGATGGGGAGATGAATATATGGTGGAGTTGCTTAGGTAGCCTCAGATACTTCACATCTGTGACACCTTTCCTTAATGACTACAATAAGACTCCTATAGCCACTGTCCTTGCTGGTTCTCACTTACCTGGACAATTTTTATTCTGGATTTTAGCAACTGTTATCCATGGTTCTTGTCCATGCGCCAACTTGGAGAGTACATCTGGTTTGCTAGTTTGATACCCTGTTCATGAGGAAAGACAAACACAAACATACTGAACTGGAGTCCAATATGTCAAGATGGGAAAATAATACATGAGATAAAGAAAACAATTTCAAAGTAAGCATTCTCTCTTAGAAGAGATTATACCACTTTGGGGTCAGAGAGGGGACTGAAAATGTAACTCTTCCAAACACCACAGTGACTGTAAAGCTTTGATTAGGTGAGCATAGGACAGTGTCTGGGCATTGTAGGCACCTCTAGGTGACACAGGGGAACTATTCTTACCCAGTGATACTAGGTGGTTATAGTTCTCCACCATCACATCCCGGTACAGGTTCTTCTGAGCAGTGTCCAGGAGCTGCCACTCCTCCCAGCTGAATTCCACAGCCACGTCCTCCAGGGTCAGTGATTCCTGTAATTACAAAGTCCTATTTAATATGATATAAACTCCTATTGTTAATATAGAAGGATATATATTTTTTTAATTTCACAATACAGCCTGCATCTATATTCCTTTCTCAAATATACTTTGGTAGGAGCAAAATCCTCTATCTATACATATTAGCACCTATTTCTAAATATTAAACATAGGCAAATGACATCAGGACAAATAAAACATCCCTACATTACTAATGACTTCACGGCCAATATAAGGATCTGTCATGAATAGACTCCACATCTTGAATTCAAAAAATAGTGCTTTTAAATAAATGTAAGAGAAAAGAGGAAACTATATAACTATAAAGCACAAAAGGCCCTTAAAGTTGATTAGATTTTATTTTTTAATTTTTAAAGAGACAGGGTCTTGCTCTGTAGCCCCAAATGCAGTGCAGTGTCACGGTAATAGCTCAATGAAACCTTGAACTCCTAGGCTCAAGCGACCTTCCGACCTCAGCCTCTCAAGCAATTAGGACTACAGGTGGATGCTACTACCAATTTTTGTAGACAGGGTCTTGTTATGTTGACCAGGCTGGTCTTGAAGTCCTGGCCTCAAGTGATCCTCCTGCCTCGGCCTTCCAAAGTGCTGGGATTACAGGTGTGCGCCACTGTGCCCAGCAAAAAAAAACTTCTAACAGAAAAACATATGTACATATGTGTAATAATTGACAGATTAACAGCATATTAGATACTCTGAAGATTATTGGTGAATTGGAATATATAACTGTGGAAATGGCAGAAAATGCAGTACAGAGAAAAAGAGATAAATCATAACAAAGAAGTTAATAAATATGAAATACAGAGTTGCAAGACCCAATGTATGCCCACTTAAGGTTTCTAAAAGGGAAAATAGTGTAATAGAGAAGCAATATCTATTAATAAATATCTAAAACCTAAAATATTTCAGGACTAAATACCTCAAATCTCAAATTCAGAAATCCCAACAAGTTCAGAGCAGGAAGTCACAACTGGTGTGACACATCAGACTGAAACCACCATACATCAAATGCAAAGGGAAAACTATAGAATCATCAAGAGACAAAAGACAGATTACCTACAAAGAAATAACAAAATATACTGATGGCTGACATTTCAATAATAGAATCCAGAAATGTATGGAATACAATCTTCAAAGTCCTGATTCTTGCAACAAAAAAGGCCAATTTTGGACGGCCATTTAGGATTAAAACACATGGCTAGCAGATGACTTGCTGTCTTACAACTGTGATATCAAGGACCTCTTTGTCAACTAAACTGTCATTCTCCTGCTTCACAATAACTTTTCAGAGAACTACAAAGTGTAAAGTAGAGGTAACTAAGATCCAAGGAAATACTGATAAGAGAATCTATCCTATATTACTGTGTGGGATACTACATAGTCAAGAAAGTAGACTCATGAGAGAGCACAACTGCTCAAGTCTGGTCAGCTTATCTCATTCCAAAATCTTTATGTGAGATGTCTATTGACTGGGTAAGTATAAAGTTAAATTTCTACCTCACTCCACTGTCCAAAAGAATTTATTACTGAGTGGAAATCTTGCAGGCCAACTCTTAAGGTGGCCTCTGATAATCTCATTCTCTAGCTGCAGTGACTTCTGACATCAATTACCTGGGTTAGGCCAAACTTCCCAGGTTAAAAGCACAATCCTCCACAAGACTGCCCTCACTTCAGACACAAGCTGCAAGCTTAAGGCTACACAGACCACCCTCAACTCCAATGAGCTGGCTACAAATGTGTGGAGCTACCATGACTCTCTCAGGTTTAATAATTTGATACAACAACTCAGAGAACCCAAGAAAGTGCTATGTTTACAATTAGCACTTTACTATTGTAAAATGACACAAATCAGAATCAGCTAAAGGAAAATATGCACAGGGTGAGGTCTGGGAAGGTTCCAAACATAAAGCTGCTGACTGTCCTCTCCTCATGGAGTCCTGGGTGGCATTACATCTTCCTGACTACATCATGTAACAGTATTCAAGAGTACTTGCCAACCAGTGAGGCGCACCCAAACTTTGATGTCCAGAGATTTTATTGAGACTTCATTATGTAGGCACAGTTTATTGAAGCATTGCCCATGTAGCTGAGTTCCGTCTCCAGTTCCCTCCCCTTCCTGACTGGTATTACATGGCTCAAAGCCACAACTCTCTAATCACATAGTGCTCTTTTTGGCATGGGCAGCCCCTATCCAGAGTCATGTCACTGCCATAAATTATCTAGGGACCCACTATGAGTCACCACTGTACATATAAACTATTAAATATGAGTGGCCCACTATGAATGACACAGACACTAACTTGGGTAATTACAAGGGTTTAGAGGTTACCTCCCAGGAACGAAAACAAAGGCTAGCCAAATTCTTTATTACACTCTAGGTGATTCCTGCCCTTGTGCAGTACCATCCTCCTGAGTATCAAATGGCCTAAAAGCTTGTTTCTAAAGAAAAGAATACAGCAAAAGTGATGAGATGCCACTTTAAGATTACACTCTTTATGACTTGCATCTTGCTAGCAGAAGCTGTCATTTTCTAGCTTTGATTAAACAATTTGGCACATAGGAGAGGTGCATGTGGCAAAAAACTAAAGGTGGGCTTAGACAAACAGACAGGTAGAAACTGAGGACCCCAACAAAACTGCCTCATTTCTCATTCTGGAAATGAATCCTCCCAACAACCACATAAGTGAGCTTAGAAGCGTATCTTTTCCCATTTTAGCCTTCAGATCAGATTCCAACCCAGCTAACACCTTGATTATAACCGCATGAGAGACTGTGAACCAAAGTAGCCAGCTAAGCCTTGCTTTTATTCCTGAGCCACAAAAAAGTGTGAGATTTTTTTTTTTAAGTGTTGTTTCAAGTCACTACATTTTGGAGTAATTTGTTAGCTACTAACAGGCAATGAATATAAGATATAAACTTAAGAAGAACTTATGAGGCCAGAAGTCGGGCACATATCTGTAATCCCAGTAATTCCAGAGGACAGTTTGAGCCCAGGAGTTTGAGACCAACCTGGGCAACATAGTGAGACCCTGTCTCTACTCTCAACAAAGAACAAAAAATTAGCTGGGTGTGGTAGTGGATGCCTGTGGTCCCAGCTATTCAGGAGGCTAAGGCAGGCAGATAGTACTTGAACCCAGGAGGTTGAGGCTGCAGTGAGCCATGATTGTGCTGCTGCACTCCATCCTGGGGAAGAGAGCGAGTCCCTGTCTCAAATAGAGAAAAAAAAAAGGAATAAAAACATGTTGATGATATAAGTAAAAAGCTTTAAAAAAAAATGGCTCCTGCATGGGAAAAAATATTTTGAACAAGCTAAAAGAGAAGTAAGACTCTAGAAGAATATTTGCAACATATAAAAGAATCAATATCCAGTCAAGATAAACAATTATAAATCAGTAAGACCACAAAAAAATTAAATGAGCAAAGACTAAAGACACTTTATCACAGAATAAATAATCCAAAGAAACAACAAAGAGATGAGAAGGATCTGAACCTCACTGGTGAAACAAGGCAAAATAATACTGGATCATCTAGATCATGGAAAATACACAATTTGATAACATAGTAAGTGTTGGCAAGATTTGCAGCACTGAATGTTCTTTTTGTGCAGTGTTTTCCAACACTAACAACCAATTCTCCAATTATCTAAACATCAACTAGATGTCCAACAATTCAATTCAATTCTGACACTATCTATGTCAGAATCCACAGATTTAAGGGTTCAATCCCACAAGACTGCCCCCTCTTAAGCTCCTCTGCCCGGCTGCCCCACTGGGAAGTGAGGAGTGCCTCTGCCCAGCCGCCCCATGCCCCCACCACCGCCGCCACCACCACCTTCTGGGAAGTGAGGAGCGACTCTGCCTGGCCCCCTGCACTGCGGGGGAAGTGAGGAGCGCCTTTGTCTGCCTGCTGTGCGACCCTCCAAGTGTGAAGTGACAGCCTGTGTGTTTTTTCTGCCCTCCCCAAGTTTGCATTTGACATTAAAGTTTACTTTTCAATTAAAAGTTTTAAATTGGAGAATATATATTTAAAAATAAATAAATAAATAAATAAACTGCCTCCTCTTAAGATGCCAGTCACCAGTCCTGGGCTACCAGTTTCTGACTAACTGGCTATAAATTTGGGGCTCCCACAAACCCCTCCTCAGGTCTGATAATTTACTAGAACAGCTCATAGAAGTCAAGAAACACTTTACTTATGGTACCTAGTTAATAATAAAGGATATAACTCAGGAACAGCCAGATTGAAGAAATGCATAGGGCGAGATATAGAAGAGGGCATCCAAGCTTCCATTCCCCTCTGGGTGTGGCATCCTCCCAGCACCCTGATACGTTCACCAACCTGAAGCTTGTTCAAGAGTTCAAAAAATTAGCTGGGCGTGGTGGCGGGTATCTATAGTCCCAGCTACTCGGGAGGTTGAGGCAGGAGAATGGCGCGAACCCAGGGGCGGAGCTTGCAGTGAGCCGAGATCGCACCACTGCACTCCAGCCTGGGTGACAGAGTCAGACGCGGTCTATTTAAAAAAAAAAAAAAAAACTCGCAGCCTGGGCGACAGAGCAAAACTCTGTCTCAAAAAAATAGTTATAACAAATAAAACTCTTTCTTTTTTTTTGAGACGGAGTCTGACTCTGTCACCCAGGCTGGAGTGCAGTGGCGCGATCTCAGCTCACTGCAACCTCCACCTCCCGGGTTCAAGGGATTCTCTTGCCTCAGCCTCCCGAGTAGCTGTGACTACAGGCGTCTGCCACCACGCCCAGCTAATTTTTGTATTTTTAGTAGCGACAGGGTTGTTGGCCAGGATGGTCTCGATCTCTTGACCTCATGATCTGCCCAGGATTACAGGCGCGAGCCACCAAGCCCGGCCTGTTCAAGAGTTTTTATAGAACTTACTCTCCAGTCCATTCTTCCTTTCAGTTCCAATCCTCTAATTGCTTAGTCTTTCTGGGGACCAGTCTCATCCTGACACTATCTAGCGGTCTCATAATTAGTCACCTTATGAGCAGAAACTCAGGTGTATCACAGGGGCTCCTTATGAATAACAAAAGACACACCTATTCCTCAGGAAGAAATTCCAAGGGTTTTAAGCATACTGTGCCATGAACTGGGAACAATGACCAAATATACTTCTTATCCATGTCACTTTCTATATACCAGACTGTGAAAAATAAATATACATTTGGTCTCTGCCCTCCAAATCTTTAGAATTGCTGAAGTGTCTTTTATATATGCTATTGAGATTACTGGTGCCTGGGGCTCTTCCATGGCCTCAGGAAGGGAGCTGGTTGCCAGGTGAACCAACCTTGTGATAGACAGTTGAAACTTTCAGTCCCACCTCTCCAACCAACCCCTGACCTCTGTGGAAGGGAGAGGTGATGGAAATTGAGCTTACCACCAATAGTTAATGAATTAATAAATTATGCCTATGTAATGAATCCACCATAACAATAAAAGGTTGAGGTTGAGAGCTTCCAGGCTGCTGAACATATGGCAGTCCTGGGAGGGTAGAACACCCAGAGAGGGCATGGAAGCTCTGTGGCCCTTCCCCATTATCTGGACCTATGCATCTTTTCCAACTGGCTGTTCCTGAGTTGTACCCTTTCATAATAAGCCAGTAATCTAGTAAATAAACTGTCTTCCTGGATTTTTTGAGCCTTCTGGCAGATGAATAGATCTGAGAAGGGGGTTGTGAGGACATCCAATTGGTAGCCAAGTCGAATAGAAGTTGTGAGTAACCTGGGGACCCAGCACTTTTCAGGGGGGCAGGCTTGTGGGACTGAGCCCTCAACCTGTGGGGTCTGTCCTAAGTCCAGGCAATTAGTGTCAGAATTGAGTAAATTTTAGAATATCTAATAGGCATGGAGAATTGAATTGATGTGTAGGAAAAACCCCACATATCTGTTGTCAGAAACACTGTCTGAGGATAGAGAGTAAAACTGTTGTTCCTGCACATACTCTTCTAAATGCTTTATATAGATTAACTCATTTTATGTCCTAACTTACTACATAGGTGCCATATCATTATCCCTCTTACAGATGAGAAAACTGGGTACATATGCTAAATGAAGTATGCGAGGTCACACAGCTGGCAACTGGCTCCAGAGTCAACACTTTTGACCATATGCCACGCTAACCATAAAGTGGAATGTACATTTTGACAGCAACTGAAAGTATGCATTAAAATAAAAAATGACTACATCCTATAATTGATTTATCTGTAAATACTGATATAATTTCACAAAATTATCCTCAAGTAATACTGATATAATTTCATAAAAAAAGCCACTAACACGACCATGTAAAACCTTGTTCATAGTCATGTGGTTTATAATAACATGCCTAAAAAAAAAAAAAAAAAAAGGTGGGCACAGTGGCTTATGCCTGTAATCCCAGCACTTTGGGAGGCCAAGGCGGGCAGATCATGAGGTCAGGAGATCAAGACCATCCTGGCTAACACAGTGAAACTCCATCTCTACTAAAAATACAAAAAATTAGCCAGGCGTGGTGGCGGGCACCCGTAGTTCCAACTACTTGGGAAGCTGAGGCAGGAGAATTGTGTGAACCTGGGAGGCGGAGCTTGCAGTGAACCAAGACTACGCCACTGCACTCCAGCCTGGGCAACAGAGCAAGACTCCATCTCAAAATAAATAAATTATTTAATTAATTAAAAAAAAAAAGTTGGTTGGCAGGCATCAGCATGCAAAAAATGCCAATATACCAAAAATGGTCTGGAGTATGTACATTAAAATGACACCCATAGTTCCTTCTTAAGAGGTGATTCATGTATCATTGTAATGGTCAAAAGTTGAACTACCAAGAAAGCATGCATTCTTTCATATTGAGTCTACTTTTTTTTCCTTCTTTTTGAGACAGGGTCTTACTTTGTCACCCAGGTTGGAGTGCAGTGGTACAAACATGGCTCACTGTAGCCTCATCCTCCTCAGCTCTAGCAATTCTCCCACCTCAGCCTCCCGAGTAGCTGGGACTACAGGTGTGCACCACCACACCCAGCTAATTTTTGTATTTTTTGTAGAGACGGGGTTTTACCATGTTGCCCAGGCTGGTCTTGAACTCCTGAGCTCAGGCAATCCAGAATCTACTTCTTTTTTTTTTTGAGACGGAGTCTCGCTCTGTCGCCCAGGCTGGAGTGCAGTGGCGCGATCTCAGCTCACTGCAAGCTCCGCCTCCCAGGTTCACGCCATTCTCCTGCCTCAGCCTCCCGAGTAGCTGGGACTACAGGCGCTGCCACCACGCCCGGCTAGTTTTTTGTATTTTTAGTAGAGACGGGGTTTCACCGTGTTAGCCAGGATGGTCTCGATCTCCTGACCTCGTGATCCGCCCACCTCGGCCTCCCAAAGTGCTGGGATTACAGGCGTGAGCCACCGCGCCCGGCCCAGAATCTACTTCTTAAGGCAGAATGAACCCCCACCTCTACTCCCAAAAGCAATCTAAGTTAATTTCTCCCTAGAACAAAATTATTCCAGTATATACTTCCTTAAATTCAACTGACATTTTCAGGCCACCATAAATCTATCAAAAAATCAAAGGGAAAATATAACAAACCAAAAATCACCTGGGTCTTGATCATTTTCTTCTGTGCTCAGAAAATAGTGGAAAACATGGACTATACGTCTTTGTCTCTTCTGCATTTGCCATGAAGTTTTCCTAGTCAGAAATATTAGTGTCCACTTAAAGTTGTCCCCGGAAATTATGATATCCAAGGCCAGCAACCTCCCTCTTCTTCCTTCATTGCTTCACTTGAGTTATCTTGCTTCTGGGAGCCAGGACCTAAGGACTGATAAACAAAATGGCTGTAAGTGTACATTCACCCTGGGTCCGGTCGTCGTCACTGCTGCTCTGCACTTACCTTAAATAAAAGACCCTAATATTCCTAACAGTTTCTTTATTTGGTGCCTCAGAGGTTTTCATGGTTCTAAATGTGTGAAAGCTATGCCTTTCTTTTGTGAAGCAGAAGTGGCATGACTATTATAGAGAAGGTGGGCAAGCAGAACTGGCACAGTACAATGCCTTAGAGGCAGGTGAATTCCCAGACAGATCAATTTTAGGAAAGAGAACACATGGAAGGCTCCAAGAATGTCTTTAAAAAGCATGTGTGTCCATGTACTGGTTCAAAAGTCTCTATAAGCTCTATGGGTATACATACCTCATGTCAAGACCAATGTACTAAGCAAATCGTAAGAACTGTCTCATTTTCACATTATGCGCTAAAGGATTAACTTTACCCAAGAGAGGTTTGTCCTTTGCCCACAGTTTCTATGAGGCAAACTCTAAGACTTTGGAATATGCTGCTTGATAAAACTGTCTTTGGTTATCAGGGCAATTTGAGTCATGCGAAATTGTCTATCCTAATAATGTGATTTACTATGGGAGGCCTTGGACCACGTGGTATTAGTTTGATATATGGAGGAGCTGGAGATTGAAGTCAGCCACATAGGCAGTCAATTGTGTGTATGTTAACTGATACCCAATAAAAATTCTGGACACCTGTAGGGAAAAGAAAGCGAGATCAGACTGTTACTGTGTCTGTGTAGAAAGAAGTAGACATAAGAGACTCCATTTCGTTCTGTACTAAGAAAAATTCTTCTGCCTTGAGATGCTGTTAATCTGTAACCCTAGCCCCAACCCTGTGCTCACAGAGATATGTGCTGTGTTGACTCAAGGTTTAATGGATTTAGGGCTATGCAGGTTGTGCTTTGTTAAAAAAGTGCTTGAAGGCAGTATGCTTGGTAAAAGTCATCTCCATTCTCTAATCTCAAGTACCCAGGGACACAGTGCACTGTGGAAGGCCGCAGGGACCTCTGCCTAGGAAAGCCAGGTATTGTCCAAGGTTTCTCCCCACTGAGATAGCCTGAGATGTGGCCTCATGGGAAGGGAAAGACCTGACCATCCCCCATCCCGACACCCATAAAGGAACTGTGCTGAGGAGGATTAGTGAAAGAGGAAGTCCTCTTTGCAGTTGAGATAAGAGGAAGGCATCTGTCTCCTGCACGTCCCTCTGCAATGGAATGTCTCGGTGTAAAACCCGATTGTTATGTTCTATTTACTAAGATAGGAGAAAACCGCCTTAGGGCTGGAGGTGAGCCGAGCTAGTGGCAATGCTGCTGTTTTATGTATGTGCACATCAAAGTATAGCACCTTTTCTTAACCTTGTTTATGACACAGAGACATTTGTTCACATGTTTTCCTGCTGACCCTCTCCCCACCATTACCCTATTGTCGTGCCACTTGCCCCTCTCCGAGATGGTAGAGATAATCATCAATAAATACTGAGGGAACTCAGAGACCACTGCCGGTGCAGTGCGGTTCCTCCATATGCTGAGCGTGGGTCCCCCGGGCCCACTTTTCTTTCTCTATACTTTGTCTCTGTGTCTCTTTCTTTTCTCAGTCTCTCGTCCCACCTGACGAGAAATGCCCACAGGTGTGGAGGAGCAGGCCACCCCTTCAGACACCAAGGCCTAGGTGAGTGGCAACAATGGTTACAATGGCTGGCAATAATAATATAAGGGTGTATATATAAGGATATGATAATTTAAAAACATATGAAGCAAAACAGAATGAGAGAGGATTAGACAATTCAACAATAATAACTGAAGACTGCATTACCGTACTTGCAATAATAAAGAAAACAAATAGAAACTCGGCAAGGATACTGAAAACTTGAACAACATAATCAACCAACTATACTTAACTAACATTTAACACTACACTCAACAGCAGTAAAATAAACTTTTTTTTCAAGAGTACATGTTGTATTCTCCAGGATAAGACCATGTGCTGGAATATAAAACAAGTGTCAATATATTCTAAATATATTTTCCAACCACAACAATTTAATTAGAAATCAATGTCAGAATGAAATTTAGAAGATATCCAAATATTTGGAAATAAAATAGCACAGATCTGAATAACCATGGTTAAACAGAAAATCATGAGCCAGGCACGGTGGCTCACGCCTGTAACCCCAGCACTTTGGGAGGTTGAGATAGGTGGAACACTTGAGGCCAGGAGTCCCAGACCAGACTGGTCAACATGGTGAAACCCCAAGTCTACTAAAAATACAAAAAATTAGCCAGGCACGGTGGCGCGTGCCTGTAATCCCAGCTATTCAGGAGGCCAAGATGGAAGAATCACTTGAACCCTGGAGGTGGGAGCAGAGACGGCGCCATTGCACTCCAGCAAGGGCAAGAGCAAGACCCTGTCTCAAAAAAAAAAAAAAAAAAAAGAGAGAGGGGAAAAAGAAAATCACATGGGAAATTGGACATATTTTGAACTGATTGGAAACAGAAACACAACATAAACATTAATTAGCTGTCCCTAAAGGAGTTGTTTTAAAAAAATAACTTTAAATCAGAAAAGAAAGAAAACCTGTATCAGAAAACACCCTCAAATGATTACTCATTGTCCAAACTGAGAAACTAGAAAACGAGGAGCAATTAAAACACAAAACAATTTGACTGAAAAAATAAACAGGAAAGTGGAAATCAGTGAAAAAAAAAAAATTTTTTTTGAAAAGTGTCCAACAAAGAATATGAAAAGTGACTGAAAAGATCAATAAAATTGATACTCATTAACTAGACTGATCAAGAAAAAAAGACACAAGTTACCTTGTGTCTAAAGAAAGACATAGCTTTCGGCTGAGCGCGGTGGCTCACGCCTGTAATCTCAGCACTTCGGGAGGCCAAGGCGGGCAGATCACGAGGTTGGGAGATGCAGACCATCCTGGCTAACACGCTGAAACCCCGAAACCCCGTCTCTACTAAAAATACCAAAAAAAAAAAAAAAAAAAAATTAGGCGTGGTGGCGGGTGCCTGTAGTCCCAGCTACTCGGGAGGCTGAGGCAGGAGAATGGCGTGAACCCGGGAGGCGGAGCTTGCAGTGAGCCGAGATCGCGCCACTGCACACCAGCCTGGGCGACAGAGCGAGACTCGTCTCAAAAAAAAAAAAATTAAAAAAAAAAAAAGGCAGAGCTTTCACACATTTAGAACCTTGTTTTATTGCCCCAGGGTGTAAAAGGCTCCGAGGCACCAAATAAAGGAAGTAGAAATATCAGGGTCCTTTATTTAAGATAAGTGCACAGCAGCAGTGACAATCAGGAATATAACATTATCACTGCTGGCTCTACAAAACTTAAACAGCTTACGAAGTGACGTCATGAATTTTACGTCACAGATCTGTCTCCATATGAGAAGAGTGGCAATGTGGGAAGACAAAAAAGTTTTTGGTGGCCGGGCGCGGTGGCTCAAGCCTGTAATCCCAGCACTTTGGGAGGCCGAGACGGGCGGATCACGAGGTCAGGAGATCGAGACCATCCTGGCTAATATGGTGAAACCCCGTCTCTACTAAAAATACAAAAAACTAGCCGGGCGAGGTGGTGGGCGCCTGTAGTCCCAGCTACTCGGGAGGCTGAGGCAGGAGAATGGCGTAAACCCGCGAGGCGGAGCTTGCAGTGAGCTGAAATCCGGCCACTGCACTCCAGCCTGGGCGACAAAGCGAGACTCCGTCTCAAAAAAAAAAAAAAAAAAAAAAAGTTTTTGGTAAGGACTGCGGGGACGGACTTGAACTGGATGGAGGGAAGTCGATTTGAGCAGGGGAAAATGAAGCCTTCAAGTCTGTCCCCGCATTCAAGGTTTTAACCGATTATCAAAGGGCTCTGGACCTCCTCACACACTGACAGTCCCTACCAGGCTTCTCCGTGACTCAGCCCCATATTAAATCCAATATGAAACCCCAAACATCTAGGAAACCGAGAGGACATCTCCCCAACCCAGACATCTCTAAGGCTGAGCTCCACATTAAATTGTGACCCTGAACCAGGCCCCCGCGTTCACAGGTACAAACTTCTCACTCCAGTTCCCAATCACTGAGCCCCACAAACCAAGTGACTCACAAGGACCTCAAACCCAGACAGCGTCGGACTCGAAGCTGATTTCCTCAGACTCTTCACCCCTACAGCCAAAGGCCCAGTCATTAACGCCCCGCTTCCTCAGCGACTGCGTTCAAATACAGCCCCAACCTGGATGCTCCAGGCACCACCGGGTACACAGACCTACAGCCCCGAGTCCATGTCCAGAACACGACTCACCCGAGCCCGAACCTCTCCAGACACCACTAGCAGCGACAAAACGCCGCATCCACGTCCGAAACCGCTTCCAATTCACACACGCTCCTGCGCGGCTTCCCGGACGCTGAGCGGTGACGACGATGAAGTGAGGCGAGAACCATGGAGCCTGCCTGGCATCGCGAGTTCAGACTGCGGGCGCCGCTCTATGAGGTCACAGGGCTGCGCCCGTGGCAGCGTTTCTGACAGAAGCGGCCATAATGGCTGTGGAAATCACTCTTGGCCACCCCAGTGCCTTTCTCAATTCGTTGCGAGGGACACTCAAGAGTCGGGTGCCCAGCCAAGGCCAGCACGGCGCAGTGGCATTCTATTCAGCCGGCTGGGGAGAAAAAGATGGCGGCACCCTCTGTGCCCGTTATAGCTGAGAGTGGAGCCTTAGCTGGAGCACCATGGGCACGGCCATCTTAGAGGAAGGCAGCAGCCATACGGCAGAGAAAATGCTTAGATCCAGGACAATTGGAAAAATAAACAAGGTTTGAAGAAACCACGGTGCTGGCCAGGAAGCGGTCACAGAATTGCCAAAACCAGTGGTCACTGAAAGTGTTAGATTTGGGGATAGGACGGGGGTTGTGGACTGGGTAAGGCTTTTGTAGGTTAGATTAGACGCTGACTAGATGGACGAAGCCGAGAATAGGAGTGATGCTCCATTAAGTGCTAATACCCACATGGGGCTTGCTATAAAACAGTGGGGAAGGGGAAGAAGAGGTGAAGGTGCAACTGTGTTAGTATCTACATGTTTCCTTCCAGAAGTAAAGGAAGATGACAGTGGGGCACTTCAGAATATGAAATTATTAGAATGCGATCATCCTACTTTGCCATGTTTCCAGATTGTTTTAAAAGTAACACTTAAGAAATGTTAGTTCTATTTTTGCAGATGTTGGCGTTGTAACTGTAGAAGATTTAAGTAAATATTGCCTTGTTGGAAGGCAACCTAGAGCCAATTTAATTTTTTCGTTTTCTTTGACAGCAATTCTAAAAGTTATTTGGTGAAAAGCTATCTTAATATTAACCACAACTTTGTAATTTACAAAAAAAAGGGAATTACAATGAGAGATGAATACTTTGGTAAATTATGGAACATCTGCTCAACTGTAAGAGTATATATCAATTTAAAAGAATATACTACAATTGTTTATAAAAAAAGGAGGGAGGGCCGGGCGCGGTGGCTCAAGCCTGTAATCCCAGCACTTTGGGAGGCCGAGACGGGCGGATCACGAGGTCAGGAGATGGAGACCATCCTGGCTAACACAGTGAAACCCCATCTCTACTAAAAAATACAAAAAAACTAGCCGGGCGAGGTGGCGGGCGCCTGTAGTCCCAGCTACTCGGGGGGCTGAGGCAGGAGAATGGCGTAAACCCGGGAGGCGGAGCTTGCAGTGAGCTGAGATCCGGCCATAGCACTCCAGCCTGGGCAACAGAGCGAGACTCCGTCTCCAAAAAAAAAAAAAAAAAAGGAAGGATAACTGTATTCGTCACAGGACAAAAAATGATCTGCAGGATAGTATATATTTTATGGTCTTGTAATTGGAAGAAATCATAAACATCTTTTGGAAAATTGTGATTGGTTAAACAAGACATTTAGTTTGAATTAATATTGTGTTTATAGGTAGAGAATGCCATGTTTTTACTTGGAAAATATTCCCAATTTGTACTTCTTAATTTTAATATCTTCGTATCATAATCATGAATATCTATATTATAAAACAGATGTTGATCTTAGAAAAAAATTAGGTATGATGATGTATAAGTTCATGGCATGATAAATGCAAAATAGGCTGTTTTCTTTCAGAAAGTATACTCATGCATTTGAAAAATTCTGGAGAATATACTAACAATATTTGACTCTTCCATACAATTATGGTGACTTAAAATTTCTTCATTGTACTTATGTTTTGTAATTTCTAGAGTGAAGGGGGCCTGCCCCCCCACACCTGTGGGTATTTCTTGCAAGGTGGAGACTGAGAAAAGAAATAAGACACAGAGACAAAGTATAGAGGAAGAAAAGTGGGCCCAGGGAACCGGCGCTCAGCATACGGAGGACCCGCACGGGAGGACCCACACGGACACTGTTCTCTGAGTTCCCTCAGTATTTATTGATCATTATCTCTACCATCTCCGTGAGGAGGATGTGGCAGGACTATAGGGTAATGGTGGGAAGAGGGTCAACAGGAAAACATGTGAGCAAAGGACTCTGCGTCATAAATAAGTTTAAGGAAAGGTGCTGTGCCTCAGTATGTATGTAGGCCAGATTTATGTTTGACTTTACATAAACATCTCAGTGCAGTAAAGAGCAGTATTGCTGCCAGCATGTCTCACCTCCAGCCATAAGGCAGGTTTCTCCTATCTCAGTAAATAGAATGTACGATCGGGTTTTACACTGAGACATTTCCTTCCCAGGGAGGAGCAGGAAACAGATGCCTTCCTCTTATCTCAACTGCAAAGAGGCCTTCCTCTTTCACTAATCCTCCTCAGCACAGACCCTTTACGGGTGTCAGGCTGAGGGATGGTCAAGTCTTTCCCTTCCCACAAGACCATGTCTCAGGCTGTCTCAGTGGGGAGAAACCTTGGACAATACCCAGGCTTTCTTGGGCAGAGGTCCCTGCAGCCTTCCACAGTGCATTGTGTCCCTGGGTACTTGAGACTGGAGAATGGCGATGAGTTTTACCAAGCATACTGCCTGCAAACACATTTTTAACAAAGCACAACCTGCACAGCCCTACATCCATTAAACCTTCAGTCAACACAGTACCTTTCTGTGAGCACAGGGTTGGGGCTAGGTTTACAGACTAACAGCATCTCAAGGCAGAAGAATTTTTCTTAGTACAGAACAAAATGGAGTCTCTTATGTCTACTTTTTTCTACACAGACACAGTAACAGTCTGATCTTTCTTTTCCCCACAAGTGAGGATCCCATCATGGGCTGATCACAGTCCTGTGGACCAGGTGCTAAACTTACCTACCAGAGATTAACATTCCAGATGAACGGGACTGAAATTTAATCCTGGATGGAATATGTTATAACACTCAAGAAATTATACGAACATGCAATGCTTATTCTCTAGTGTGGGAGAAAGAGAGATCAGACTGTTACTGTGTCTATGTAGAAAGAGGAAGACATAAGAAATTCCATTTTGATTTGTATTAAGAAAAATTCTTCTGCCTTGAAATGCTGTTAATCTGTAACCCTAGCTCCAACTCTGTGCTCGCAGAAAGGTGCTGTGTTGACTCAAGGTTTAATGGATTTAGGGCTGTACAGGATGTGCTTTGTTAAAAATGTGTTTGCAGGCAGTATGCTTGTAAAAGTCATCGCCGTTCTCTAATCTCGAGTACCCAGGGACACAGTGCACAGCGGAAGGCCGCAGGGACCTCTGCTTAGGAAAGCCAGGTATTGTCCAAGGTTACTACCCATGTGATAGCCTGAGATATGGCCTTGTGGGAAGGGAAAGACCTGACCATCCCCCATCCCAACACCCAAAAAGGGTCTGTGCTGAGGAGGATGAGTGAAAGAGGAAGGCCTCTTTGCAGTTAAGATAAGAGGAAGGCATTTGTTTCCTGCTCGTCCCTGGGAATGGAATGTCTCGGTGTAAAGCCTGATCGTATGTTCTACTTACTGAGATAGGAGAAAACCGCCTTATGACTGGAGGTGAGACATGCTGGCGGCAATACTGCTCTTTACTGCGCCGAGATGTTTGTGTAAAGTCAAACATAAATCTGGCCTAGGTGCACATCAAGGCATAGCACCTTTCCTTAAACTTATTTATGACACAGAGTCCTTTGTTCACGTTTTCCTGCTGACCCTCTCCCCACCATTACCCTGTTGTCCTGCCACATCCCCCTTTCTGAGATGATAGATAGTGATCAGTAAATACTGAGGGAACTCAGAGACCAGTGCCGACGTGGGTCCTCTGTATGCTGAGCACCGGTCCCCTGGGACCGCTTTTCTTTCTCTATACTTTGTCTCTGTGTCTTATTTTTCTCAGTCTCTCATCCCACCTGACGAGAAACACCCACAGGTTGTGGAGGGGCTGGCCACCCCTTCACTCACTGATCATTTCCAGGAGTGGGCTGATACGACTTTGCTGTGGCAGGTTGTGCTGACTCACGGGACAAGGAAGGTAATTCAAGGGCCTGGTTGGTGGAGCACTTTTGCCTGACTCATTGCTGTAGACAATCTGCCCTGAATCCATCCTGTTATACAGTGTGGGAGTGGTGATGGGAGCACGAATCCACAATTTAGGGCAGAGATGTTCAAATTTAAGAAGGCTCTTTTTATAAATGTAGAGTCTGAACCCCATCCCCAGAAATTCTAGCTTGGAAAGCCGGGGAGTGACTCAAGAATTTGCCTTCTTTTACAAGCTTCTCAGAGAATGCCGAGGCAGGCACCCCAAAGAAAACACTTAGAAAATTCTATAGTGTTATGGACTTACAAATATGATGGCTGTCTCCCCACAGTACACTTAGGCTTTGGTTCAAATTACATCTGCACAGAAAAGCCTTCCCTGAAAACTCTTACTAAAATAACTCTTATTACAATCTATGAACTTGCTAGGCTTTATATTTCTTCCTAGCACTTATCTGAATTTGGTTTTGTATTTATCTTACTCAGTCTCCTTCACCAGACTGTATGTCATATCAAAGCCAGCACTTTGCCTGTTTTGTTCACTGATGTGTCTCCATTGTCTAAAACATGCCTGCCATGGTGTAGAAGCTCAAAAATTATTTTCAAAGGAGTGAATTACTCAATATGGAGTCAGGGATTAAATTCTGCCACAATACTATGTGGCAAATATCTATTACTTTTATAAAGAGAACTCACCGTTTATAAACTGGATTAAATCTCATTAGATCAAGGGAAGTAACTCTGGATAGAGAAAACAGGAACCGTTTCTAGGAAAAACTAATAATTTTTTGCCACCAGGCCTGCTCGAAATGATTAAGGAAGTTTGCATAAAAAGGAAATAACTAAAGGAAACATAACATCAGGAATGCAGAAAAAACAACAGAAAGGGTAAATATGTTATAAAATGTAATATTCTTTTAAGTTTAAAAATTGTGTTTGCTGGTTGGAAGCAAAAGTTACAATTTTACTTGATATGGTTCTCGGTGGATGTAGAGATGCTGAATGTCATTTTCTGTTAGGGATGTGTAAGTTGAGCCCATGATCATATACCAC